ACCAAGCTACACAATCCCACCATGCTATGATATCACATCAGGTTTGCTGGTTCCTAAGCAACTAGATCAAATCTTCATAGAAACTGGCAGGGTTAAGAGTTTGCCGAGAAATAGGAGATTTGTGGTAACCCCAAAGGCGAAAGGATGGAGCTAAAAATAACAGCTATCAGATACTAAGAGACCAGCATGTTAGCATCAATGTAGCAGTATAGTGGGGGTCGGAACTTGATCTAGATTCTTGCATTACAGTCGGAAATATGATATCCAAATGGACACGGTGGAATGAGCTCACGGAGAGAGTTCACAACTTGTCCAATCTCCATCGCATGCATTATTGCATACATGCATTACTGTAGATAAACACGTAGGTATGCAGGATTTAGAACATCCTAATACTTTATTATTACTGACTAAAATGTACTGGCGGCACTAAGCGCAGAAATGTGTTACTTAATACCTGTTCAAACTAAGAATCAGATCTAATTTATATATGTATTATATGTAGTATGTATTTCTTAATCGGGGTATGTTATTATAAGACTGTTTGAGATTACATAACATACTAACATAACAAGCACTGCAGAAATATCCCAGCGTTTCCCAAAGACGATTGCTTTCATTTCAACCAAAAGACCTGAAACACTGCACACAGTCAGGTACAGATTCATACATGCACCTGAACCTGCATATAGAAATGAACAGGTGTAACCAAATGACTGACAGCTAAACACATTCCCTCAGCAGCATCTATATGCATGTTTTTCCTTGAACTGAACTTCTGAAGATCGTTTTTCACGTACACGTAAACCCTTCCGCACTGACTCTGTCCTCATTACAGGGGTTAATGAAGGAAAGAAGCCCAAGCTCTGGTTTTCACAAGCTCTCTCTCTCTCTCTCTCTCTCTCTCTCTCTCTAGGCTCTGCAGCTCTGTTGGGACTCGACGCTACTGCCAGCAAGGCCCAGAAACCTACTTCTGCCGTAGGCTCAATGACTGACGCGGCTCAGCTGACGGCAGCAGGCCACACAGGCAAAACCATGCAAGGACGCGAGCATGCACCTGCGCGCACACTCTACTTAAACCTTAAAGTCCCTTTATCCTTACACACACTCAGGAAATTACCTTTGGCACACTTCTGATATGTCAAAAGGTACATTAGGTAACCCCTGCCATTATTTATCCAAAATGTTACTCCTATGCTTATTCAGACATAATAGTTCATTCATTGGTACTTAAAAAAAACATGCTGAGGTTAAATTTCTTTAATGAGTTCCCCTTTTTGTAGCCACGCAAAAATGTTCTGAACCCTTTTGCTCGCTGCTTATTCACCATTAATTCCCACCTTACAAGTTGAATCCCACATTCTCCCCTTTTTCTCCTCTCTTAATAACATAATCGCAAACTCTCCCACAGGCATTAATCGACACCTACGTACAAAATCAGACATAAAAATGCGAAGGAGCTGGATCTGCACTCAGCCCAGCCCAGCTAATTTGGCAGTGTGCGTGTTACCATGCCTACAGGCCCGATCAATACTTTAACTAAAAATAGCATAGCCGTAATACGCTTACTTCAAATTGCAGAAGGCTGAACGTGGCAGGAGCAGAATTTATTCTGTAATTTCCAACATAAGTGTAACCAGTGGCAGAGGAAGTGGGCACTGGGCAAAAGTGTGAGTTTAATCCCCGACAGGAGGTTTCTTAAGGCGATTCCAGGATGTTATTGGCTGGGCCTGCGTTCAAACAGCAGGTCACTTCCTGCTGGGTTAGCGGTGGATCATTAAATAGACAGTGTGGCTTCAGAAATGGGATCATAAACCAGTGCGAACACATGCAGATCAATGATTAGAGTTGGGATAGATGCTAGCGCAGTGTATCAAAATGCCTATTAAGCATGAAAATACCACAAGGCAAAGAGAATATTTGTTAAGACGAGTCAAACAGCGCCCTATTAGGAGATAGCTGTATGACACCAAGTAGCCAGACACCCTTTACATCCAGTACAATCTGTTTAACTGATGCTCCTGCTGCCAGTGCATTCAATAACTTACGACATGACCTAGAGAGAGGCAGAGAGAGAGACAGGGGGGAGCACGGACAGATGCACAGACAGAAACGATGATGATGATGATGATGTGGGCTGGCGTGAGGGATGGAGTTGGGGACATGAAAGCAAACAGGAAGAGACTGGAGAGTTAAAGCATGTCAGAAGTATAAGCTAAAACCTGACACGCTGGCAGAGACGGCCTCTTTCTCTCTGCACCGTCCTCTTGTTGACACACAGGTGTGAGAAAGAGCACTTGATCTCACACGGCTGCCACGCAGGTCAAGTCCAGTGCTGTTTCCACTCAGACATAAAGAGAGGAATATGTGTGATCCGCGTGTACACACACTACGTCTGCGTACACAACTGGTTTAAACCCTGTTCTTTTTATAGTGTCTGCCTCCCACCCACTGAGAGAGGAAGCGGGTTAGGTGGGTGGACTATCAAGGGGGGGTATGACTCTGATTTCTGGCACACATCGCTGCAGCGTGGGTGAGAACTCAGACTCCATTCATAGATTTCTTTTTTTTTTTACCTTCATTTGACCTCTTTCAGTCTCTGTGCCGCTCTTTCCCTACACAGCTCCGGCTGTGAACGGGGACAAAAATGTTCGTCATTCATAAAAGGCTCAGGATCGTGTTCATTAAATATTTACACCCTTTTTTTGATTCCTTTACCAGACCATAGATCTTCAGTTCCCTTCTCCAATCCACTCTAAAACAGCCATATAATATCTCCCTCTTTTTCTGAGTGTGTCTCTCAGTGGAGACACTCATCATGTGTGACACATCTCCCACTGGCTCCATTGTGAGATTTAGTTCGAATTTAATACAGGCTAACAGCCAATGTCATCCACAATAAAACCAATTCAAAGCCACGTCTAATGTTCTTTGATACCATGCAAACACTAACAGGCTGCTTATCTTCTGCAAGCGCAATTCTATTTACTCCATACAACTACAAATCAGTGAACCGTGTAAGGAATTCTTACCCGTTTGCCATCCACCGTGTAGATCTTCTTCACCACTCCAGAGTCGAGCTTTATGGCGTCTGTGATGTCGGTAAGGACCTGTTCATAGGAATGGGCTGTTTTCTTGTTCAGAAGAATCCTCACTGCTTTCCGGGGCTTCACTCCGCTCCGCACCACCGTCACGAGCTTCGGACGGATGAAGTCCTTGCTTTCGCGACCCTCTGAGGTGGTGGTCTTGGTGCTGCCCAGACACGGAAGCCCGCGGGACGATGCTGCCGCAGCCTTGACGTTCACTGACCAGTTGGGGTTCACGTTCTTTGCGTAATCCAACTTTTTGTAGGCTTCGGTCGAACTGCAAACATAGCTTTCACCTGTTGGGATGGGGGGTTGGAAAAAAGAGAGGGTATCAAAGATGGATTATTTAGAAAACAGCCAAACAAAAGAGATAATCTTTAAGCTTCTTTTGGCAAAAGAAAAAGATTATAAAGAGTAAAAACTATATATTTGGGTGAGAATCTAAAGGTAAACTCTACTGAAGGGGTGAACACCATTCTTTAAAAAAATATACACTCTTATTTGTTCTGCTATATTCAGATCTGTGCATATAAAGGATATGATTAACATTGGTTTCAGATCCCTCAAACCATTCAGTGACCCCTGGTGCCCTTTAAATCCTGGAGGAGGCCACTCCCGTCACAATAGAGATGTTTCATCACTGGACGAATGCGATTACTCAGATCAGCTTTGTATTGATCTGAAGCGACCTTTCCATCTCAGGCGATAATTATGCCAGAGTCAGTGGACCCTATCAATGTTGAGGTCAAAGGGTTTTTTTTTTCTTTACTGTTTGCACATAATCAACAGTCCATATCATCTAAACCTGCTGCCAACAGCTTAGAGCTCTTCCTCTTTCACCCCTCCTGACCTAATGATATTGGCTTGTAACTTTTAGAGAGTAAAACAGACCAAGATAACCTGAGCTGACACACCGGATATCTGGACCGCCATCTGGCCATCAAATGAGTTGCATAATTTTAAAGCAGTCATCTACAGTGTGCTCACTGGGTTAGGCTTTTTTATGTGAAGAAATGCCCCCTAAAAGTATCATGTACATGCTGTTTCATATTATCTATCATTGGGGCTTCTTACTTTACATTTACAGTCTTGTTAGTGACCTTACTCTATGCAGCAGGAGGGGGAGCAAGGGAAGATCACATAACACCTCAGCTCACAGGTCAGGAAGTGTTTACTCTTTTAGAGAGTAGAAGAGAGGCATCCTATTATGTTAGATAACCACAAACATGTTGATAAGGTCATAGATGAGAGGAAGTGTGTCTCAGTGCTTTGAATTGTCGCAGATATACATATGTATTTATACTGACCTTCTACTAGCTGTTCAATATTGGTGATTTTCTTTGACCCATCCAGGGTGTATATGGTCCGGACGCCCTGTGGCAGGTTGACATTGTCGGATAGGGAACGGGTCAGGTCCGCCAGCAGGGCGTCAAAGGTCCGGAACCTGTCAGCAGAAATGGCGTACACAATCCCATTGAAGTACCGGTCTCCATTGCGGTAGAAGCGGACTTTCTTGGCTCTCTTCTCCGCACTCAGTGTCTTCAGGGTCCGGGTCCGGTACAGACTGCAGTGGGCGCTGTGTGTGGGACTCAGCACACCGTTCATCTTCGCACTAGAGCGGCTGTGCCTCTGACCTTTGTCCCGCTCGTCAAAATGCTCCATCTCCATTTCGCTACCGAGGCTCACAAGTACGGCAGTACTGTCTGGGAAACAACAAAGAGGAGGGGAGGGGAGGGAGAAGATAAAGTTTGAACTACCGAATAACAAATGAAAAGGAGGTGCCGAAAATGAATATCCGACCCAGGAGAGGTTCGGAAGGCTGATATAACCGCCAGCCGGTATCCGTCGCTGGCGCACTGTCTCAAAATACCCCACTAATGACAGATTAAGTGCTCTTAAGCCGAGCAGTGGACAGTGCGCTTCTTGACGACCCACGCTGTGTGTGACAGTGCGCCCGAGCTACTGTGACGCGCAGATGGCTGGAGAGCCTCAGTCACGAATCGATAATAACCTATTAATTTGGCCCTATAAATATTCAGAAGAGCCGCAGCTGGACCAACATCCCTCCTGGGCCGGAGTTAAAACACAACATCGCGGTCCCGTTATAGATGCCCATCATTAAAATATGCCAGGTTATATTCTGCAGTCCCAAAAAGACTCGTTAAAAACATATAAAAGTGTGTTTCAAGACTTTGCAGCAAACCACAAATAAAACAGTTAATCACGCTGGTATGAGATGATAATAATAATTTTAAAAAGCAACTGCTCAGGCTTACCTACGCGAGCAATTAACGCTTCTGTGACGGTCACCTCCAGTCTGACTGACGCTTTAATTCCCAGCAGATGTGAGAAAGGAGTTCAGTGCGCTCGTCCCTGACACTGGACGCCGGTGATATGTGATGCTGTCCTGGCTGCAGTGTGTGAGCCCCCCCTGTGCGTCTCTTTGTTGTCCGGTTGATGTGCCCCACCACACCAAACCAGTGAATACGTGCGTGTGTGTGCTTGTGTGCGCGTTGTGAGAAAGCAAGCAGCAGAGGCTGGACTGGAAATGGACTTGGTAGCAGCTGCTTCCCCTCCCATTCTCTTTTCTGGTTTTTTTTTTTTTACACCCACCCTTTCTCTCTCCTCCTCCACGTCACTCTGTCGTGATTTTCATTCGGCGCCCCCACCCCTCATTAGGATGCAACCACACGCTTCCCACCCGTGCTGGGGAGGATGTTGGTCCTGCACCCCCACCCAGCCCCTCAAAAGCACGCGTCAACTGAGGTGGGTGGATGGGGGTGTCAACCCTGCTTTGTGGCATTTTAAATCATCACTGTGGTGCTCAGTAAAGAGAGAAAACAGATATTTTTCTGTGATTATTTTCCAGTTTAATTCCTTCCTCATATTTCACATAAATCATTATTTATAACTTAACTGATGTAAATGCAGCATTGTGTTTAACCCACATTTGCACGTGGGTTGTTATGTAATACTTTAACTCTATACACAAACCCACATGCTGTATTTCTTCTACAATGACTTACTGTTGTTGCTGTATGAAGACTTTTTTTTCTTGGGAATTAAATGTATGGATGAGCTGAAAAGAGCTTCAGTTACACTGAATTCATCAATGCAGAGAACTGAGAGATGTAAATGATGCTTCTGTCTCGTTTCTTCCTACGAGCTTTGAAATTTGAGGTTAAGACAGGAACCAATCTCACAGTGCAGGAAGAGATAAAGACCGCTGACCTACTTCATAGACTCCAGAGACTACAAAAATCCCACTCCACCACTCACTAATGAACCACACACATGCATGTGCGTATTATCTAACATTTATATGTGCCAGTGATGATGATAAAAAAAAGAAGAACAAGAAGGTGCCATCAATTTCTCACATCTTTGCCATTCGTTTATTTTATTTACAGCGTTATGTTTTGATGATGTCACTTTCATCAGTAATAACACAGAGTCTGTGTCTGTGTCTTTGTGTGTGATAATGAAACACCACAGCCTACCATGCTAGCCATGATCATCCCTTTATGATCACAGTGCTCCCATATTCTCATGGCTGCTTCCATCAGAAGATGGGTCCTTCTAGCAGGATAACATACCGTGTCCCAAAGCTCAGATCAACACAAACTGGTGTCTTGAACATGACAATGAGTTCAGTGCACTCAAATGTCCTCCACAGTCACTAGATTTCAGTCCACTAAAGTTCCTTTGGGATGTAGTTTAAGGAGGTTATGATGGATGTGCAACCAATAAATCTGCAGCAACTGTGTGACACTATCCTGTCAATATGGTACAAACTCTCAGAGGAACGTGTCCAGCACCTTGCTGAATTTGCGCCACAACAAAATAAGCATTGCTGAGAGCAATGTGTGTAAATGTGGGTCCAACCCAGTACTTGTACCTGATAAAGTGGCCTGTGAGTGCCCATGAATTCTTTACTGTGTGAGAGTGAATGACAAATAAATACGTTTAAAATAAAATAATTTTAAAAAAACATACCCACAATTTTCTTTCTATTTTGGGGACTTGGTGTGCGTCACAAACAGAGAGGAGATGACACTCTCAGACATAATGTGATTTTCAAAAGAGAGTCAGATATGTCAGATTTATAAATTTCCACATTTTGTTCAAATAACAGATGAGAGCGCAGAGAAATGGATTTTGGTGTTGTGGTAGACTTAAAACAAACATATCTGATGTTAGAACTGACAAAATGTGAGGTACACTGTGAAAGCAGCTCTGTATGTCTTAGGATCATACAGTATCTTGCAGTTAGCAAGCAGCATTTCACAGTAATCAAGCATTTCAAACATATATTGCTTCCATCTACATTTGTGTCACCAGTGCCACTGACTAATTACAGACCGGGTGGAACAAAATCAGAATGAAATAGGCTTGGAAATATTACATCCATACTAATTAGGTAAGTTCTTCATTTCTTCAATTCTTCATAGAGGCCAACTCTTGAAGCGTAGCACAGCATGACTCGTAGCAGATATAAAGAGAAGTGTGTGTGGTTAAGACTTTTAAGCCTCCATGTGGGCATGTATTAATTTCTTTGTATATTATGTATGTAAGTGGACAGTTTTACAATCATAAAAACATATTTTTATGCCAAGCTCCTTTTCTCAGCAATGTGCATAACGGCCACGTTTTCATTCAAATGTTAGAAAAACACAAAAAGGCACGATGTAGAACACTTCTGCAAATACACCTCTGTGAGGTTATGATAAAGAAAGCTGAAGCTCAATTGGATGGATTTATGGACTGATAACTGATATTGAAGTCTCATCTGGAGTAATTAAAACCTGCTTTCAATTTACAACCTGTGATTAATGTATTTTGATGCAATGCTTTCACACTACACAGAAGGGTGTGTGAACACGTGTGCTACCACAAAAGTGTGCGAGCCAAATGAATTAGCATAGTAATGCAGCAGTATTGTGAATCATTGTGTTTTGAGAGTCGCTGTTGTGATTTGTCATTCTCTTTCACCTGTCAGGAGAAGACATTTGGGTAGTTCCTCTGTGGCTGTGTGATTCATCGGCAAGACGCATTGAGTTGTAATAAATAAAAAAAGCTTATACGTGAAATTGAGATGGCAGAAGACTAGAGACTAGTTAGAAGGTGGTACACTCCAAATGTGCTCAGTGTTTCATGAGGCGATGTGAACTGGCTATGTCTAAATGAAGTCATGAATCTAAGATAAACAAGCTGTTGTGGATCACACTTAGAAGCGTACACCAAGTCAGCCATATCAAAAAGTAAATACCAGCTCAATAAACAAATTCCTCCCGTGGAAATTGAAGCATTAGGACTCGAGCTGATCAGGCGATACTTTTCAGAGGATTTACAGGGACAGGACAAAAAAATTAAATTATACAATTTATGCCTATGGCACCATGTTGTCCGCTTTGTGATTTTGTTTTAATTCAGTGTAATTCAGCAAGGCTGAGAAGAACTGAAACCATCCTACACGTTTTGCAAATACAACTGAAGCAGTACTCCTGGTGTTTGTTTGTTTTTTGTTTTTTTTTTCCTATTCACTACTTCATCTCATATCGATAGAGTTTTCTGACACCCACATTTGAAAAGGTGGTCAGTAGGTGGGACATGGGTGACTGTTTGCTCTGTGGAGAAACTACAAACAGCGAGAGCGGTGATGTGGTGCTGCATACGTAATGTGAATCGTAGGAGGTGTTAAAAAAAACTGCAGTGACACAAGAAATGTTCAACTTGGCAGGCTTGTAGCACACTAGACTCAAAGCCTTCAGCTTGTTTCCTGTCCTGAAATAAAGGCCTTAGCCACAAAAGTTTAAAAACCCATATTTGAAACATTTCTCTTTTTAAATAATTCATCTCCTTGTTCAAAGAAACACGTAAGAAAACACTAAGCCCACACTTTGTTGTGAATGTAGCCTTTTATAGCTTGACATCAGGTTAATACTGTGGTTACTTTATCAAATGAAAAAAAAATACAAAAATAAAAACACAATACCAACTGCAGCAAATGGACAGAAAAAACGAAATACATTCACATTCATGTTATTAAGTATGCCAGCTGAACTGCTTGTTAACACAAATATTTAATCAGCCAATCACACGACAGCAATTCAAAGCATTTAGGCATGTGGACATGATCAAATTGATCTGCCAAAGTTCAAATTGAGCATCAGAATGGGGAATAAAGGTGGTTTCAGTGACTTTGAATGTGGCCTGGTTGTTTGTGCCAGAGAGTATTTCAGAAACTGCCGATCTACTGGGATCTTCCCACACAACCATCTTGAGAGTTTACAGAGAATGGTCAGAAAAAGAGAAAATATCCAATGAGTAGCAGTTCTCAGGTTGAAAATGTCTTGTTGATGTCAAAGGTCCGAGGAGAATGGACTTCTTCAAATTGAAGGCAACAGTAACTCAAATAACCAGAAGAGCATCTCTGAACACGCAACACGTTGAACCTTGAAGCAAACGAGCTACTGAAGTAGAATACCGCACCTCAGTATGGTATTACTTGCTATTTTTGGCCAGGATGTGTCCTTCAATACGCATATTAAACAAATATGTAGGACTGCTTCCTTGCATTTGCACAACATCTCTAAAATTAGAAACATCCTGTGTCAGAGTAATGCTGGAAAAACAAATTCTAGGCTGGACTACTGTAATTCATTATTAGCAGGATGTCCTAAAAACTCCCTAAAAAGCCTTTGGCTGATCTAAAATGCTGCATCAAGAGTCCTGACAAGAGAAAGACAGTATTTCTCCCATTTTAGGTCCTCTTAATTGGCTCCATGTTAAATCCCGAATCAAATCTAAAGGTCCATCTCATATCAAAGACCTCATAGTACCATATAGAGCACTCAGACTGCTATCTTACTTGCGGTTCTGATTTTGTTTTGGTGACAGACACCCTCTCTGATTTTAGGATCAGGCCTAAAACTTTTTGAGGTGACCCTGAATCCTCCCACTGCAGCACTGCAATAGGCTTAGGTTGCTGGGGGATTCCCATGATTCACTGAGCAATTCTCATTCATTCACCTGTTCTTGCTCATTATGTGTTTATCCACCACTTTACTTTTAATCATTAGTCATTATTAATCTCTGGCTCTTCTCCACACCGTGTCTTTTGTCCTGTCTCCCTCCCCTCACCCCCAACCAGCTGCTGCAGGTGGTTGCCCCTCCCTCAAAATTGGTTCTGATGGGGGTTCCTTCTGATTGTTTGGGTTTTCTCTGTATTACTGTGGGCTCTCAACCTTACAATATAAAGTGCCTTGTGATGACTGAGCACTATATAAATAAAATTTAACTGAATTGAAAAAGGTCTCACAAAAATTGGACGACAGAAGATAGGAAAAATGTCATCTGGCAAGACGAGTCTTGCCGCTGAAACATTTAGCTGGCAGCGTCAGAATTTGGTATAAACAATTTGAAAGCATGGATCCATCATACTTTTTATCAGCAGTTCAGGCTGCTGGAGGTGGTGTAATGCTGTGAGAGATATTTTCTTGGCACACGTTGGGTCAATTAGTATCAGCGCTGTATTGTTTAAACACCACAGCCTGCCTGAGTGTTGTTGCTAATAATCTGTTTATGACCACTGTGTACCCATCTTCTGATGGCTGCTTGCAGCAGGACACTGCATCATGTCACAAAGCTCAAATCACCTCAAATTTTACTCAAATGTCTTCAACAATCACCAGATCTCAATCCAGTACAGCAACTTTGAGTTGTGGTGAAATGGGATATTTAGATCATGGATGTGCAGCCAACAAATGTACAGCCACTGCATGATGCAAAAAGGACCAAAATCTGTGAGGAATTATTCTAGCAGGTTGTTGAATCAATACCATAAAGAATTGTGGCAGCTGTTAAAGAAAAAGGAGGTCCAGCTGAGTACTGGACAGTACAAAGTGTACCTAATAAAGTGGCTGGTTAGTGTAGAAACTGCAGTATTTCAACATAATCAGTCGCAATGTGAACTAAAGCATAACCAAAAGCAACATGACTAAGTTTGGGTTACGGATCGTGCTTCGGGTTGTGCTTAAGCGTGGGTAACCTGCTTTTCCTTTGTAATTTCTTCTCTCCTTTTCTCTCTGCTATTCTTCCACCATCACCTCCTCCTCTTTCTTTCACAAAGGCCTCGCCACCATCTTCTTCTCCTCCCTCTTTTCCTTTCTTAGAATCAGCCTCTGCCTTCCTGCCAGTCTGCTTCCCTCTAAGCAACAGGAGATGAAAGGGAGAAAAGTACAATTTATATCTACCAAAATTGCTTTGATTAAAACAACAATGTCAGTGGCTTTATATAACAGTCATTATGTCAATAATAGCCTTAGAAAATGTCAGAATCTATTTATTTATTTACAGCATGAATTGTTTGTCAAGCATGAATACACAGTTAAGGAGTCGAGGGAAAACTGATTTCAGTGACAGATGTATTGCTTCCTCCCAAATTAATAAGTGAAATCAGAATTAAGCCAAACACCATAAAAATATAAACCTTTGAGTGAAGCTCATTCTGCATTCATTCTATAAAGCATGTTATTGCGCTGCAGTTTATGTTATTTTGTCCATAATCTGTGGGCCTTGTGCTTCACAGACCTCATTTGTTTGCTCTCTGGTGCCCTCTGTGGCTGTGCAAAGTACTGTCTTCTTTGAGCTTCATGGGTAGATGACAGCTGTAGGAGAAGAGAACCGATTAGTAATGCAAGTCCACTCTAGACCAGGAGTGTCAAACAAAAGGTCCGTGGGCAGGAATTGGCCCAGTAAAGACTCAAATCTGGCTCACTGGAAGGCTTTGAAAAATGTGAAGAAGTGTATAGATTTTGAACTTTTAACTTTATTTTCATCAGTTTTACAGCTGGGCAAGCAATGAGCTACCAGAACCTTTTTCTGTAATTTTACACATTATTATGAAGAAAAACGTAAATGCACCATTAAACTGACATTTTTGTACATTAAAGACATCTCAGTGATTAAATCTTCAGTTAAATGTACTTTTCTGGTCTGGCCCACTTAAGATCAGAGTGTGCTATATGTGGCCCATGATGTAAAATGAGTTTGACATCCCTGCACATGATGTAAAGCTGCAGTAACTGTGACCTATGGTCTCTAAAACACAGTGAACTCAGTTTCACTTCAGCTTGCGCTCTGCAGAAACCTGTTTTGTTGCAACATACAGAGGAAAGTCCTTGACTCCCTTTTTTGCCTGAGCAGACTGACCTGTTATATAACAGGAGAATAAATGAGAGCTGCATGAAAACAGCAGAAACACAGCATGCAGAGTATGTCATTAGAAGTACAACACTTACTGTAACACTTACCAGAGCATGTGTTTAGCAGTCAAGGATTAGTCGTTAACGGGTATTTGCTTAAGATTGTGACTGCTTACCTTAGCAATTTCTGACAGGTATGCCCGCCTCTCATCATTGGTTTTATGAAAAGCCTGAAATTAGGAAAAAACAGCAAGCTATACCGTCACAAATTTGTATTCATGAGCCACGCTTGTTCTATCAGGCAATAATCTATCTGCTCGTGGGTACAATGTGTGTATGTTTGTGTGTGCACTTCTCAAGTCTTCAATGTTAATTAGCAACAGGGATTACTGACTGCACGTGTCGTTTGCTAAACCAGCATTCAGCGAATATCTCTCTCTTTGTTGAGCAGAACAATAAACAAAACGAAATCTTTCTCAATCCACTGCTAATGGTGGCTACTCACAAGTAAACTATTTATTACCTGGAAAAAACTAAAGCTGCTTGTCTAAGAAATAATAAAAAAAAAAAACATAAGTAGAACACCAGACGTTGTGGCCTCAAACAATCCCTCTCACTGTTCTATGTCAAAAGGGACAGCTAGGAGTCACACCTTTCCTTCTTGTTCAACTTGAAGATGACAATCCATTAGCTGACTCTGGAGGTCAGATTTCTCCCCGGTCAGGAGCTTCAGACGTTGTCTCAGTGTTTCCTGTGCCAAAGCGTTCCCGTTAATTAGAAACAAATCACGACAAAGAGGCCACAGAGTACGAGGGTGTCACGCTGCTGAATTACCAATCAATTTGTTCTTGAATTGCACTGTGCTGCCTGACGGGATCAAACAATAGCAGCATCGTTAATGCAGAAAACACGAGTACAAAAATGGACTGAGCTCATACGTATTTTAATAACCATATAAACACATTAGCCCTGTGAAATGGTAAGATTTATAGCCCAGAAAAGACCAGTAAGACCTTTGCAATTTTCTAGGTTTGGAACAGTCTGCTTCTTTTCATTGTGCACCTGAGAGGAGAGTGTTTTAAGGTTGCAATACTTGAAATCTATGAGTACCACTCTCTGAATATCAGTCTGATGTCTTCGGATCAGCCAAGTGTTCTTTTCTACTTGGTTAGATCACATTTTTTTTCTTCCTAATCATTAATTGTGTTAGAGTTGTATGCCACTAAGAGGATGCATTTGAGGCACTGAGATCACTAATCAGAAATATTCTTAGCCTCATTCTTTAGAGCTTTAGACATAGTAGCATGCTCTTGTATTGCTTACTTTACCAGAACACTTTCATTTACCTCCATATTAACAGTATCGTGATAACATTCCTCTCACATGCTCACTCTCTCATACGGTCATGCTCAGTTTGTCTAAAGACTTCCAGTATGCAATATTGTTTCCTTGGTTACACTAATAAGCATCTGTTAGCATTGCTCTAAGAAATACACACATATTTAGACTGTATTGTGCAACCTTTGGTGTGCCTTAAAGTATTGTAATTAGTGTGTATTACTCTCCCATGGTTTGTAATCCTGTGATTACAGCGCTGTGATTAAACTCTGGCTTATTCATCCTGCATCAGCAGGAGAATAGAGAGCAGCTGGCCAAACAGTTCTGCCTGTGCTGTCCACTCTCCTTAACCGATTCTGTATCTCTGGCTCTATCTTGTGGCGCGTGCTTCTGTCTTACACTTGCAGCTCCCTCTCGCTTTGTCAAACTGTCCTTGGAAAAAAAATATCAAATTTAACAAAACTGATAAAGACAAACCCTCAGTGGAAAATGAACATTTGCGCTCACCACTGGCATGTCCTCATACGACCGAATAGAAGCCAGTCGGTCTGCAAAAAAAAGCAAGAGCATTTGAGTATTATGTGTGTATGCATAATACTGAAAAAAGAAACTTCTCGAGATGGGTGGAAGTATTCCATCTTGTCTTATTTATTGCACTAAATGGAAAAAGAGAGTTTATTTGAAAAATCATGCATTTTAATCATTTAAAAGATGCAAAAAAATATTTTCCTCCCAAGTTGCCTATTTTACACGAGCATCATCATCACAAATGCTTCATGTATTGGAAATGTTGAGCTCATATATTTAAAAGAGTTTTTGCAGATGACACTACTCTTGATCTGGAGAAAGATAACCTACCACACTATACACAGAGGTATAGTGTTGTTACTTACAAACACTTGTGAAAAAACTGCAACATAATGAATGTGCTTTCACAGTAACGTTTTTTGAAAGCCTGAGAACTTACCCACAGGGTTTCCTCTTATGTCTTCCAGTCTCTCACGGATGAGTGAGATCTGCCGTTCCAGCTGCCCATTTAGCTCTACCTGTGTCTCATACCTTGTCCTCCACTCATTTCCTGATACATCAGCAGAAACATAGAAAACCATCATAATATAGTCCTTTTGAGGACTGAAGACATTACCGACAACAAAAAGAGAACCATGTCTGACTTTTTTTTTTTCTGGAGGTCCTAATGTAATATCATGTGGTAAACAGTACTCAAGCTAACATACATTTAAACACATACACTCACTCGACAGTTTATTACACCTGTTCAAGCGCTCTTTAGCACGGATATTTAGTCAACCAATTGACCAACCAATTCTACCAGTCACTTTAATTTTGCTTACCTTCCCCATCAACACTGTGCAGTCTTTCTTGGAGTTCACTCATGGTACTCCGCAGATCAGACACTGACTCTTCAAGCATTTCTCTACGACCAAGAACTAAATTATACTATTCTTGCAGTGTGTAAGTTAACATTTATTTAAACAAACAAAAAAGGTCTTTCTGTTGTTATTTCAGACTTACTTCATCCCCCTCTCCTTTTCCAGTTCTACCTGCAGCCGTGCCAACGCGTATTTACAGTCCTCGCTAGCTTTAGCCATGTTTCTGGAAAAAAATCTAAGCTTTGTTTGGGTTTCTACGGAAACCGCCGTTTCCGGTGTTGTGCCAAAAAGTGATCGGGTGCCAGAAAATGATATCCAGTGTTTTTTGTGTTTTTTATGTGGAATATCTTTACGTATCTTGGTAGAGAGACCTCCGTGAACAGGGTTTACAAAGGGGTTATATATCAAATCATAAAATTAGATGTTTCTTTAAGTATCTTTATAACTCCCTCTATTGTACTTACATTATAACCAACCCGGTCCATTTTGTCCACTTAAAGTATGTTTACAGAACTATTGTTATATTTGTTGCAATATCTGCTATCCTCTTGGCCAGATTACTCTTAAAAACACGTTTTTAATATCAACCAGATTTTTATAACTGGAAAAATTAAGGATATATAGAAGTCACTGCCAAAAACTGACGCTTCTACCTTGTTACACGAATGTTGTTTGTGGCTCAAGATGACTTGATATCCTCCACGAGGGATACATGTGACATATGTTTCACATATTATAGACCAACAAGTTATTCATAGTTTAAATACGTGCAGTTTTTGGCAGACGACCTTTTTTTTTTGGCACAGCTTATCAGGAAACGTCGACAAGGGCGCAGGAGTTTTTGGTTTGTTGCTTTTCTGTTTTCCTGACAGACATTTTATAAATTAATCTCTTGCTTAAATGCGCCTAAAAACGTTTAATCACATTAGTAAAAGAATACATACATTCAAGGCTGAAGACTATCTGTACATATAACATGAATATCTTAATATCTGTATATAAATGAAACACAGACTTAAATAACTTAAAATTAGAAGCAAAACTCCATTCAGTGTTAAATTAATTCTAGTATGTTCACATGGACATGACAAAATATAGCAAAGAACTGAAAGGTCTATTTTTCATAAGATCCCTATCAAAGATAAAACATGCAGGAAGGCATTAAGATGCACTGGAAATCTATTTTTTCTTCTCTTCTTCCTTGTTCTTCTGTACATCTTTTGCCTCAGCCTCATCCTCTTGTACTTCCTTCTGCAACTTTTTCTCTTCATTTGATTTTGCGGCCAATTCCTTGGCCGTGCATTTGCCAGCCTTCTTGAAAAAGGCTTTGATGCCTGCATTATCGATGTTGTTTGCAGTCACGCCAATGTTGATCACCGACTGGAGACCAGTGTCTGTGGCTTCGCCTGCATTGTTGCCGTACCTTCACCACAATTAATGTGGTGAGGTTACAGAAATGGTGGTAGAGTTGTATGATGGAAGAAAATTTAATGAGCATGTGAATTGAAATCTGGGGCAAGTTTGTTTACTACAGTCATTCACATAAAAAAGACAAAAGAATTAGGAAAACACAGTCATATCATTATTTATAGCTGTTTATTAACAACAAACTATGGAAAATATCTACAGATAAATAGTATGAAGAGCATAAGCATCACCACCCAGCACAAGCTGACATGTAACAGTAACATGGACAGACCCAGAAAGACACCTGATATTTATATTGTGTCTACACAGAAGCCACAGCTCAAACAGAACATTAGCCCAGTAGCACCAACTCCAGGGATGTATTTGTCTACACAGAAGGTGTTCAGACATATCACTGAGTGTAGGTCACCTATGTTTTCAAAGCCATTACTGTTCTTTGCATAACACACAGAGGGAATTAGACACGAAGCATAAAAGCAGTGTTGCATTTATGGGGCTAGAGCAAAGGAAACACCCAATCTGTTACGTATCCTGTTTAGGCAAGGTTTTAAATTACAAAGAGTCAAAACAGAAACCAAAACACATACTTTCTGTGTCTGACATGTATGACTAAGAAATGCCATTTTGATTAAGTTAGTTCCACGTTATGTTGTTGTATTCAACTTGTTGACAGTTTACTGCTGTGTGCATGAAAGGGTTGAGCAGGTACACGTGTTAGTTTACAAGCCTTTTCCTTTAGTCCGCTGTGCAGTCATATGTTTCTGGACAAGTTTAAAAGATTCTCTAAGCCCCTAAATCTGAAAAGAAATAGGTGTGAAAAGCAGGTCAGAGCACCACCATCCCAAGAAGAAAGAGGCAAAGTAGGTAAGAATCAGACTGGTTTCTGATCCAGCTTGGTACTGATGTTTAAAATGACCAAACAGGTTCAGAAACAAGATGGAAACAAAAGATAACATTAATCCACTCATGATACTAAAGCATGAATTAATTAAAATATATGAACTTACTTGTAAGTGACAGTTGAGACCGTCTCTGCTGCCACACTTTTCCCAACAAGTTTTGCTCCAGTCTCCAGACTGGACCAAATGGTAGCCAAACCTAGTTCAAAATATCACCGATTTTAGAAACCTTATACTTTAGAACTTTAATGTGATAGTTAGTGCTAGTGATGATATGAGAATTGTATCAGTTTATGCACAATTTTTTAACTGATTAACATTTAGTGTCTTGAAAAAACATCTGCCCTCTCCTTGAGTTTTTGCATATTTGTCACACAGGTGTTGTTTCAGATCATCAATCAAATTTTAATATTGGACAAAGATAAGTAAATGCCCTCTAAACCTAATAACTGGTTGTGTTAGCTTTAAGTTCAGACTTTCACTATGGCACTTCAAGACATTTATTTGGGGGGTTTTAATCATTCAGACGTGGACTTGCTGGTGAGTTTCAGGTCACTGTCCTGCTGCATAACTCAAACACAGTTCTGCTTCAGGATGTGAACTGATGGCCTGATATTCTCCTTCAAGATTTTCTAATACAGAGCATAATTGATTTCCATCAAGTTCTCCAGGTCCTGAAGCATCAAACCAGTCTCCAGACCATCACACTACCACCACCATGTTTGACTAATAGTATGATCTTCTTTTTACTAATGCTATGTTAGCTTTATGGCAGACAAGGGGATTCAAACCTTCCAAAAAATTGTCTCATCAATTCACAGAATATTTTTCCAAAAGTCTTGAGAATCATCAGGATGGTTTTTTTTGATAAATGTGAAACAAGTCTACTCATTTCAGTACTTTTTTTTACTGCACTGTAACCTTGTTGTGAACATCCTGAAGTCTTGTACATACCATGCACAGTGCTGACCGCTACAAACTTGGCTCCATCCATTTTGGAAGCTTGGCCGTCTTCTTTCTTCTTCAAAGCTTCTGGAACCAGTTTTGCACCATGTTTCTTCACATGAGGTGCCATCTTTTCTGCCAGTTTTTCTGCCACTGTGCCTACACCATTCACTAAAGATACAGAAAGGTAATCATTATTATTTTGGAAGTAGAGTTCAGAGATTCCATGACTTAAAAACATGATGTCTTGGATTATTTCAAAGTAGTGCTCACCCAAGAACTGGCTGACTCGAACAGCACCCCCAGTGGCCTTTCTGGCCATCTCCAGACGTTTGGTGGTACTGGGGCTGACCTCTGAAGGAGTCTCTTCAGGTGTGAGTTGGTCTCGAATCTTGGCTGCTCCTTTGTGAATGGCCCTACCAGTAGCTTCTGCTCCTTTTATCAGTGAATCACTCAACCGAAGCGCTCCTATGGAGATATATTTGAGATAGTGAATGTACAACAGCAAAGAAACTGTCATTTAATAAATTCCTAATAAAACTATATGAAAGCTATTTCAACAACATTTTCTTTGAAGCACTGAAGGGCATTACAAAGATAAACAACACCCACTAGTGGGCATTTTTTTATACAGAGGGATGTCTAATGTATAAGCATTCAATATAACACTTTGAAGGGATATATACAAGTTATTTTTTTCCCCTTCATTAGGACCCTTGCTTATAAACTCACCTGTCAAGATTCCTTGACCCATCTTCTCACTCCATCCAGGAAGTGGTAGTTTTTCCTGCTCTCCTGCTGATGTAGTCGGTTCTACTTGCTCTTTTGTGGGATTAAGGGGGACTTTCGTACTCAAGTTGACTACCTCTGACTCTGTGCCCTCTGGACCCTGTTAAGTCAAGGGACAAAAACAGTGGGTGGGTTGCTTTAAAAAAAAAAAAAGTACGCCCAAACAGAGTTGGCATGGACTATTTTTTTACCTACAACATGACATAACCACTTCATTCCTCCTGTGTCAAAGAAGTGTCAAAGAAAAATGTGTTTCTAGTATATCTAGTGTAACAACTTAAACCAGCCACAACATGAGTTTTCAGTTTCCACAAAAAGGTTCAATTAATGCTTTTACTAAGACTAAGACACTGAGTTTGTTTTGCATCATTTCCAGGTATTAAATCAGGGCTTGTTTAAATGCATGGACACAATATAACAAACTGCTTTGAATGTAGAGTTTCACAAGGCTTTTAATTCAGTTTGACAGTTTTGGGTAGTTTTACAGCTAACCTTTGTGATAGAGACAATAAGACAGGTAAAAATGGAGAGATAAAATCATTACACCCTCACATACCCAATGATCATTTTTGGGCACAAATAAATAGCAGACCTCAAAAAGCTTCATCTTCCCTGTACTAGTTAGCAAACTGACAGTATATGTATGTATACAATTTCCAAGGCACCATCAGGAGCTACTACCTACAAGGTCTTTCTGTTTCCAAACCAGGAGAAACATCCTATAAAAATTAACACCAAAGCTCCGCTCCAACACATACACACCCTTGCATTTGTTTCCTAAAGGAAGTAAAAGCTGACCTGGATCCTGAATTCAGCAAGCTGTGACAGGAGGTCCTGAAAAGTCTGCAGGTCTTCAGGAGGCAGCTCAGAAGACAACACTATACCCGCATAGCACCCTGGCATTTCTGCCAAGGAGTCAGGGAACATAAAGATCCCGGAGTTAGCCAGCAGCACTGGGGTGTCTTTTGTCAGTGGGTACATCCAATCGCATACCTGGAAAACACAATGACATTAAAATATGTAGGTGATGAATGTTAAGAGTCCTTGAAATTAGATCCACATCTGCTGTTTATAACAGAAACCTGAAATCTTTAATATGACACAGAGAGTGAGAAATGACAACATCTGCTGAGTGTTTGTTTCCATGAGGGGGAATATGTCCCATTTGCAATTTATTTCATCAAATAACTTCACTGGAAGATATTATAAGATTTGGTTTGAAGGGTTTCCCAAGGATTTGTGCTTTCTTTTTCTCTTTTGAGCATAAAACTGTACTCTCATTTCCAAGTATTTACAATTTCCTCTAGTCTGTTTATAGACACGTTGTAGGATTTAAGGATTCAGGATTAATGTCACTTCTCAACTGAGGCAAAATACAGACACTTGCTGCATCGTACCACTGGTATGCCGGCTGATAACATGACCCCTGTGAGGGCACAGGACACTGAACAGCAATACAACAGAAGCGCAGAGTCATCTGTTAATGGGACCATTGTCTTGGCCCAAAACAAAGCAAGGACAGAATACAGGAGCAGCCTACCAGCCTGGTCGGGTGGGAAACAAGAGTCATGGGTTGCAGTGCAGTTTACAGCACAGCATAATACAGGCTTTGTAAAGGTGCCAGAATAGATTGGTATTTTATATAAACTCAATACAAAAGCCATCACACAGAAGGTTGCCAGAAAGCACAAAGTAAAAAGGATATGAATGGATATAAAGTAGATAAAATCACACTGTTGCACAGGAAAGATTAAGCAACGAATATCTGCTCTATAGATGAACAAGCTATAATAAGTCTCAAATGAAACAGTCTAGTTTTCTGTTAAATGAAAACTAGACTGTTATTCATTTAAGAGTCTAATAAATAATAAGCATTTGTACTTCAGCAACCAATTTCATCTGCAACATTGCTGTTTCAGTGTAACAACAATGATGGGATTGCAAGCTGAGGGTGAAGCATTTGGGCAATCTATCAATATACAATTAAAACTTAATATGTAACTATTTTAATATTTTTTTAAAAAAATGTTAAAGGCCTTTTTTCAGAAAAGAAATACATCTAATCCACCATTTGTTGCTAAAAAAAAAAAGGTGTAAGAAATCAGTTAACAACACTGCCTTTTTAGCATTCTGTTCCAATATTTTGTAGACACACATACTTATTGTTGAACTAAACATATCCATAAATTGCAGTCTACAAAAAACTTAAGACTTTATAATACCATAATTTACTAATAAAAGTGGCACCTTTTAATTTTCTCACACTACATTACTATAAAAAGTAAGTATAAATTACGTAAACCTTGCATATAGCATAAATTATAATATGAAACATGAGTCCCACACTGTCTTGTTCGACTTGTACATAAAAAAATACATTTAAAAGGTGTATTTATTATTGTAGGGAACTTCTCTTGTGTTTTAAATGGTTAAGGAATGTGTCAAAAACACGTCATCATTTGTAAGAGGAACATTTCTTTGACTCAGAGTTATGAAAGACTTCTCAAACAGAAGAAACAATTCCCCTGGGGTCACACCTGCTTGCTCTTAAGGACACACACCCAAAATAAAAATGCTTTTCTAAAATACACACTCTCACAGGTTAACATACACTTAACAACAAATATACTTACATGTAAAAACACTGCAGGTTTTTCAGCAGGGGAATCCTGCTGACTGTCCACCACAATGATGCGAAGGTAGCCTGGAGAGGAGAGTGAGCTGACTTGCCCGTTTGGTGCCACAAAAAACAGCTGCACCCCGGAAGGGATGCACAGCAGTTCAGTTCCATTTTCTCCTGCTACTGCTGCAGTCTGTCTTCCTGGACAAAAGCCACCTTCAACAGGAGCATAAGCCAGGATACGGTGCCCATCTGTGGGCTGTGGTGTGTATGCTGGAGGCTGCTCTGCTGGACTGGCCATGGCAATAGTTTTTGAAACCACTGCAGGGAGTGTGTCTGGAGCAGGAGGGGTCGCAGGACTGACAGGGACTGTGTTGGGGGTTGGGACAATGTTGTGGGTGGTAGCAGGTATGGTGGGGTAGAGATGGTGGACAGAGTTTTGGGGAGGCTGGCCGTTAGGTGCCAGGTCTGGATAAAGTTGGGGAACAGAAAGATCCTTCAACAGCTGGTCTCTCTGGTTTGCTGTTATAGTAAGCTGAGATGTTTCCAGGTCAGAAAGGTGGTTCTCAATTGTCTTTAAAGTATCCCTCATCTTCTGTTGAAGCTGCCGGGCTGTGTCCCAGTTCGCTCCCTGCTGCCGCTGCCCTCCAGTGGGAACCTCCAGTCCCTGAGTGAGGTGCAGCCGACCCTTCCTGTAATACTCGAGGGCCTCGGCTCTTTTCTCTGCCTCTTCAGCAGCCAGTCCACGACTCAAAGAATGAAACGCCAGCTCATACTGGTCCCTGATGAGCAGTAATTCAGCAGGTTCACCCATCGCCTACCACTGAGGAAAGGGCGCAAGAAAACTAGAGAGGAGATAATGAAAGCTTGTTAGCTCTCTTCTGTGTGTGTGTATAGTGTATAGTACCTGTTCTAGAAAGAAAATGTAGTCAGTGGCACTAATTCAGAGCTTACGTACTCTGTGACAGCAGCGTTTATGAGTTACGTGAGAAAAATCTCAGCAATGTAACTGTTATTGGCAGCTGTTGCCAGCAGAGAGGTTAAACGGCAGGTTTTACCTGAACAACAAGACCTGCGTGCGAGCTTTCTAAAGCTTTCCCACACATCACTGGGAGACTACTAGGAAACTGAACTTCAACTACTGCCAAAAAAAAAAAGAAAATGCTTCAAAGAGTCGTTATTTGAATCTTCAAGTGTTCTACTGACATTTAGGTTTGAAAATCCCCTCCTCATATCAGTTTTCTCTTAACTCTGCGGCGTCTTCTCGCGCTCCACCAGCCTCGCGCATCAAAGTAACCGGGATAGGCGCGAGAAAAAAAAAAACGCCTTCCGGCCAGTCCTTTCAAAGTAAACTCCAAACCGATTGTCCGTCTTTTAACTGTTGTAGATGCCTTGCCAGTCTAAAATCTACGAAACATATGTCAGTCCCGTCTGAATGATGATGACGATAAAGCCGTTTAGACCCCCAAATCACGGACTTTTATACATCCTTTAATTATACCGTTAAAAATTAAAGATGTCATTTTAAAGATGACAAATTAAAAACGCCGAAAATCCCGGTGTGAAATTTAATTTACAATTTAATGCACAATATTTAAACATTGCAATTTAAATGCATTAAGAATTTCATTCAGAAGAAGAAATAAAACACAGTGACAAAAACTCTTGAGAAACTATGAACTTTTATTGAAAAGTTCATACCATCTAAAAACATTTTTCAATCAGTCATAATACATAATTCTAGTAAACTACCACTAAATACTACCTTCCAAAACTTTTTCCATTGCCACCATGTACATATAAAAAGTGGCTTTTAGTTCACTTTTACATTAACTGCGCAGAATGGTGCCTTAGTTCAGGCTTAAAAGGCGGTTTGTTTTAATGCAAATCATTTTCTGTGTTAACATAAATCTTGCGGTTTGTGTTTGCAAGTATGTATTGCACATGTACAAGTGCTGTAGAAAAAAAAGTTAATAAAAGTTTAAAAAGCACACACTGCAAATATATACAAATGTAAAAAGCAAATATTGTGCATGAAAAGACAATAGTGTGTGATGCAGGAAACCTTCTGAGGTAACCACTTCTACGGCATCTTACCAGAAAACAGACATTTTCATGCAAAACAACTCGAAAAATATCAGACATGGCTTATTATTGCAGATATCTGGATCATCTGGACAGGTTATTTTCATCTGCATAAATTTAAAAAAAAAAAAGTCCAGATCGGCTTATATGAATAGTCTTGGCAGCAAATGCCACTTTGCTTGCTTGTTTTTTTTTTTGTTTGTTTTGTTCTTCATTTCATTGTGTCAGATGGGTGTAGCAGTAAGTCACGGGAAAAACAAAAAAGCAGGGGGAGTGATCCATGAAACGCCACAGTACCTGTAAACGGAGACAGAAAACATCATAAGGCAAGACAGAAAATAAGACATGCAAAACTGCACATGACAGGCTTTCATCTTATAGTTGTTTTTAAAGTGGTTTGAATTTGAAAATACATAAACCATTCCTTACTTTGAATTTTTGTACTTTTCTCTGATGCCCTGTAGTGGGCGACTCTCTGCGCTGGCGTATAGCTTGTACAGGTCAATCAGGCAGGGAGAAATGTCAGCCATCGTGTATCCGCTAAAAGCCACTAAAGAATCGGGCTAAAGCAGAAAAACACAGGTTAAAAGTCACATTTTTTTCCTAATTTCTTAAGAAATTTCAATAAAATTAGATTAACCAAATAAAATATTAAACTTACCCATAAAGACGTATTTATGGTGTAGGAAGCTAGGCAGTAGGCTGCAGCAGCAACCATAGATGGGCTGTACTGTAGAAATGGATCCATTTCCAGCAGGCTTAACTCCGCCACATACTAGAAAGCAGAAATAAATTAAAAAAAAATACAATAAATAAAAATAGAAAATCATATCCATATTCCTTAAAGGCATTTGGCCTGACTATTGTTAAATGATTCAATTTACTCACCAGGGCCAGGTTTTTGGTGTTGGCACAGACAGACTGGATGGCCATGAAAAGGTGAAGGAACGAGTTTATGGTGGGTGCCGCCAAGTTGAAGCCCAGCACACTTAGAAATGCTTGCTCCATCCGAAGCAGCTGTTTCTTAGTGTAGGTGTTGTCTGTGATGGTCACAAATTGGTTGAGTTTAGGAGGTGACTTCTCCTCATATTTTCTAAAAAAAAAAAAGTAGCAGATCAGATGGCATGTTATATGTAAGGTTGACTATTAGCACAGACTATTAGCAAAAAAGAAAAGGGAAAAAAAAGCATTGATCATTAGAAACAAACAGTGACTTACGCAGCAATCACCAAGGCAGCCGTGCCAACCAGCTGCAGCTTGCCTCGTTTCACATTTCCGATGAGGGAGAGAAATCGGTCCAAGTAATTGATAGCAAGATGAAGCGTTTCAGCTTGAAGTTGGAATTCCTGCGCCACCTCAGCCATCCAGTCCACCAGAACGACGCGCATATCATCCGTGATCTCTGGGTGTCTTTCTAAATACTTTGGCCTTGGCCTGAATGCAATCTGCAATCAGAAGCCAAAACATTATATAGTGAACTAAAGAACAACAAGTCACAATTACATTGCAATAAGGTTGAAAGAAATTATGGAGGTCACTGGGCAAATAAATAAATAAAAATAACCAAACATACAAACAAAAAAATTCAAACCTCATTATTCCTCAAGTACTGGTGAATATCTCTGGCATACTCCACACAAAAAACCTCCTCAGATTCAGAAGGCGTAGAAGCATCCTGGCGTGGACCTATAAAAGTAAAAAGTAATGAGCATTAAGGAAAGAGGAAAAACAACAAGTTTTCTTGGTAGATTCTTTTTTAATCTATCATACTCACTTGAACTCAGCTCCAGCATGATTACCATATCTTCATTGTGCAGGGCATTGGTTTCCTCATCTTGGTAATTACGGTGTCCGACAACTTCTTCGCCAGAAGCCGCAAGGACAACTTCGCAAGCCTCTTCCACGTACACATCAAAGCTGGAGCTGGAAGGGCAGCCCAGACAGTTGAGTTGAGAGCTTTCTGAGGTTGAGCTGTGTCTGGAAAACTGGCCACCCTGAAAATGATAATAACCCAACATGATGGCCTTGGTTCCTTAAAAAGAAGAGAGCTGGATTTCTTGCGTGATGTTTCCCTTCTCCTCCACGAGTCTTGTTCAGTTTTGAAATAACAGAGGAGAGAACTTCCAGATATTTAAACCCCCAGTGGGACTTGGTCCTGAGAGTCGCTGACCTACTATTGGGTCGACACATGAGTGAAGGTATGAAAAAGGGGTGTTGATCATTACTGAGAATGGGGACAAAGGGTGAAGCCTCTATCTACCATTGTCCCATTCATCATCGTTTGATTTGTTAAAATTATCTGAGGCAACTTGATTGGCAGCTGAAACTCCTGAGAAAGCTTCCCAAGTCGTCAACCACCACCCGTTTTCAACGATGGTCGTTCACAGTGGACAAAGGCCCCCTTTACACCTTTCTCAAACCGTCTGTTTTCTCAGTCCAGACATTGTGAACATTAGCGAGAGTTTCCTTTCTCCTTTCTCAATCTAGTGGAGTCTTGTGTTGCACTGGCACTGATCAAAGCTTTTATTCATGCAGTGCTTAACAAATTTATCCGACCAACTCCTAGTGTAAGGTTTATTACTCACCCACCCTAAATCAGCAGTATTGATAATAACCAAAAACACTTTTCTAATTCATTTCTAGTCTTAATTTTTATTTTTATTTCATTTTAACCTTTTGCTTCAAGTCAAATGTTTCAGTCTTAGTTTTAGTTGTTAGTTGTTAGTAATTCACTTTATTATGGTGGGCACATACCAGAGACAAGATTTAAGGACATCAGTAAATACATTACAATAACGACCCATTACCTTTTGAAAGCAGTTGACACAGTCATCCACAGTCTCAATAAACACAACTATCAAAGCCTCATGAGGCAATTTCTGATTTAAAAAAAAACACTATTTATTATTATTTATTTTATTTAGTTTTCCAAGTTCACAAAATAATTTAACTTTTTTCCAAAGGTCTGCTTTTTAGTTTTTTGTGTCTAGTTTTAATTTTCAGTTTAGATTTAACAACCTTGGTTTCTGTAATATTAATCTACCAATACGCATAAGCTCTTTAATCAGAATGACAATTTTAAGTGTAAAATATAATTATTACTGTTATTTTGGTGAACAGTTCATTTTCAATTTTACTGTTTTACAAAAAAGCAGGAAAATGATGTGATTACGAAGCTAAACTAAAATTATTTACTTGCATTCCTGAACAGAAAAATCCATTTTAGATGTTAAATCTTATGCTTGATTAATTTCTGGCTTCTCAGACAAGACCAGTATGTTGGTAAATACAGTAATTGCTAGTTTTAAAAAGGTTTTGAGGTATTTCTAAAATATTTAATTTTTCTTGTTTTTATGGTGTAATAAATTTGCTGTACCTGGCTCATGGGACAATAGTAGCTCAGCGACCTTCGGGATGACATCCAATGGCACAATCTCCATTAGAGGTTGAATATCAAATGAAGAAGCCTCTTAAATGAAAGCTGAAACATTTACTTTGTCCTAGATGACTGAGAACCAACATAGACAAGCTAACATGATTGTCACGTCAACAGCGGTGGGGAGTGTTTTTTCTCTGTCACCTACCTGGCTGAGGGATCGACCTCGCAGTTCATTTTCTGACAAGACTCCGAGCACCGTCCGCTGTTTGGACCTCTGCAGTGTATCTACTCTGGCTGAGGGTGCCATATTTTCTTTGCTGGCTCGACTGCGTTGACTTTTGCTAAAGTTCATCTTTAAACAAAGACATTGGAAAAGAACAAGTAAAAAATATGCTTTTTTTATCCAGAAAGATTATAATGATTATCAGGTCTCTGTCACTTTCCTGTATACATTGGCAAACACAGCAAGCAAGTATGAAGACTTTACTTTCAGAGTAAAAATGCTTTAAAGCAGTATAGCAGCCAAACAGGATTGCAAGTGACTGATTTTAAGTTAGGGAAATGTTGGAAAACACATTACAGGTTTCGCAGCGCTAAAGTGGATGAAGTTGCTTGTTTTTTTAATAAAACTATCACATAGAAAATATCATATAAGGGAGATGAACTACAGTTTTAGTCAGAAGTTTATACGCATTCATCATGTGCATCAAAGTCATGGTCACTTTGGGCTTTTAATTATTACTTTCAACTGCTCTTTTAACAGGGTGCAATATTTGTACAGCATCTTTAATAGCTTTCTATAATTCTCACAGGCTCAAAAGTACACACACAGGCTTTAAAATATACATACACACCCCACTAACCTATGGTATAAGTTTCTCTTTGGTTAAATGTCTCTTAGCATGTTGTGGCTCAACCACATGCTTTTGGTAGCCATCAACGAGTTTCTGGCATAATTCTGGGTAGATCTCTTCTTGACAGAATTGCTAGGGTTCATATTTAAACTAGGGTGGACATGTGTCACAGATTATCAGTCGTGTTGAGGTCAGGGCTTTGGGAAGGCCATTCCAGAAGCTTACTTTTAGCCTGCTTTATCCATTACAAAACCAGTTTTGTGTTTGGGATCACAGTTCACACCCGACTGTGTCCAAGCTTCAGCCATCTAACTGTTGTTTTGATGTGAAGTTGATGAATTACATATCATTATTCCTTACTACATTTACTTGTCATTGAGGCCAAATAGCTTAATCTTTGTCTATGATTACGTGGATAAGCTCGAGTCGTTAGCCAACACCCGTTTTGAACGATGGTCGTTCACAGATGGGGGCTTTGGTTTCCTTTACTGCTTTCTCAAACCGTCTGTCTTCTCTGACCCAGAATGTAAACCCTGCCAAGAGTGTCCTTCCCTCTTTGAGTCATGATCAACATAGCAAAGTCTTTTTCTGATGAGATGACGTGCCTCTGGAGTGTAACGATTAAAGCTTTTATTCCTATATTGCTTAACAAATTTATCAGACCCCCCTCCCAATGTAAGGGTTGTTCCTAAACCCCTCTGGCCATAAAACATTTCTCCAACAGGAATTTGGGTCATCCATGTATGCACTTGCAAATTTCAGATGAGCACGAAGGTGAAAGTTTGTGTCTTCTTCCAGACTTCAGGCACATCTGAATAACTTGTACTTATATAGTCTAGTTTGAATTGATGATCTTGGAATCTGCAGGTTTCTAGAAATTGTTTAGCGACGTTCCCAACTTCTGTAACTCTACAATTCTCCTTCTTAAATCTTCACTGAGTTTCTTAGACGTCCCTATTGTTCTGAGCATTGGTCAATCCAATGAGTGCTGTCAAACAAATCTTTTTTGTCCTGGCAAATGAAAATAACAGTTGTAGTCGACCATAATCACTAATAATGAGTTAACACTCCTTGGCCTTTTCAAGACTTTCTACAACTTTTTGACCACTTATAAAAAGATTTAAGTGAATGCATGTATTTGAGCCCGTATGTATAATTGTGACCCTGTGTGGATTAGAGAAAAGTCAATTCAAACTTCTGACCACAGCTGAATGTCCTTTTAGTTTCTCCAATGTAGAATATAGTTACTGCTTGGGTCCCTGCTGGCATCATGGGTGGAATTTCTATATAAAATTTGTACTGTTCCCTTTTTAAAGCTTCTGATTCTAGTTTGTCACAGATTTTCAGCTCATTTTGACTCCAATCACTCTCCACCTCCTGTTTTTCTAAAAACTGGAGATGGAGGATGTATGGCAGGGATGATGCTCAGTGTTGTGCTGCGTATACTAGAATTAAAACTGCTTTTACTGAAACTGTTTGGTTGAAGATGGCAAAACCCAAAATTAGCAGGGCATTCATGTCATTGATAAGTAAATGTAAACTTCTAACCACAACTGTAGCTATCAAATACAAGAGGCAGGGACCGGTGAAGCTACGTGAAAAAAAAATGCATGGATTGATCAGTTTACTATTACTAAAAACTGCTGGTATTAAATGAGTTAAACAACTAAAAGTTGAAAAGTGAATCTTTCAGCTCTGCAAGTAAAAATACACAAAAAAAAATGGTAAAAGAGAGAAAAGTCATAGGTCATCTTAAATCTACACCAACTGAGGTCATAGCAACAAAAAAACTGTTTGCAAAAGTGTTACACAGTGTATTCCTGAGCACGTCCTTTTTCAATACTACGGTGAGAGAGAATGGGTTTGTAACTCTTACAAATGACATCTTGATGTCATTTTTACTCACTTTGGCAAGGACTGCCTAAAGCTAGTGCGTGAGTAAGATGGCGGATTACAGGAACCGAGATTCAGTCGCAGATTGCAGAAAAATTACGAGTCTAAATCTATAAATGAAATCCTCTGTTAAGGGTCTCCAAGCTTCAAAAATCATAGAGTCACCTGCTAAACAAACAGGTGAGACAGTTTTGTTTTGTTTTTACCATTAATGTACTAAAAATCAGAGGAAAAGCAGATCCAATAAAGACTTTGAGATAAGTAAACTCTTCAAAATGTATCCGAATTTAAAGTATGAGATCAGGCAGTAAAGGAAGTTTGATCTACTTTTGATCTAATAATCAGAAGTTGTGTGTCACAAACATCAACACACTATGTAGACAAATATGGCATAAACATGGGCGTGCCATAAGTTCCCCAGTTTCACCCAGAATGTCTACTTTGCATATGGAGGAAGTGAAAGAAGGGGTCTATTATCCTGTTCTGAAATACCACTGAGCCATATAAATATATCAGGACACAGTTCGCTAATTACATTAACTCATGGTCATTGATTAGTGGTCATGACAACTGTATACAGTCATAAAACTGAACTCACAGCCCATTGTTAGTCAGTGCATGCGCTGTTTGGAAGGGTGGGAAAACCTGGAGTCAGCTAAGACTGAAGAAGTCATTGGGATGAGTGGTGAAAAGTTTCTCCCACTGAAAATGCGACGTCCAGATGAACAGAATCAACTTTCTGCGACTTCAGAAGCATAATCCACTATTAGGATGTTAAAAAGTATAAAAGTTCCCATTCACTAAGCGTGTGAACACAGTGTCTTTTCAGTAATTCTATTTTTTAAAAAGGCATGTTTTTAATCTTTCAGTAAGGAAAGATTAGTATGCATTGTTTTCATATTTTCTAAAAATGAAATAAAGAATCATTTACAGTGGTGTGAAAAGTCTTGAGCCACCCTTCCTTTCTTTATATTTTAGAAAAATTTAAAAAAAAGAAGGTTTTTTGGAGGACAGATTTATTGAAATGTGCAAACATACATGAAAATGCAGGATACATTTCAAAATTTTCGACTGAAAATTCTTCGCCAAAAAAGCAGTTAGAATAAATTATGATGTTTTTGTGTCGGCCTTTTTAAGTATGATATTAAAAATTGTTTATTTGCTAAGTTGTTGTAGATGCAACATTGATATATTATTTTTAAGCTTTAATCATTCGTGTCAGTGTTAAGTGCCTTATCAAACAAACAAATAAATAAAAGAAACCCGAAGAAAACAAAAATATTACTCGGACCGGACAGAAAATGGGTGAAAAAAAAAACACCGTGAAAGCTCTTTAGAAAGCCTGGAGAGCTACTGCTCAAGACCACTTAAAAAATACAAGAAAGTCTGGATCATTGGAGGAAAAATATCCAGGAATCAGGGGTGACTCAGGACCTGCACGGCACTATTAATATTCCCCGTGCAATTATGGTCTCACATTGCCATGGTTACTAAAAATTTGCAGAAGGAATCAGTCAGAAAAAAATCAAGGAAAACAGGATGTTGCACTGTGAAAACACAGTGCATCACCCCGATGTATCACAGACCACTGCCCGCTCATGGTTACATGTACTTTTTAGTGTATTTGTTCCTAACTGTAAACTCACCATGATCAGGATCAGTGCAGTTAGCAGTTTAGCGTTTCAGCGTCACCACCACCGACCAAGTCGGACAATCGACAGCTGCCCCTGACTTGGTTGTTAATAATCTGTACCAACAGCGCCCTCTGGATCTCTTCGCGTGACTTGAAGCAGGTTTCTGGGTGTAGCAGGGTTTTTTTTTTAACTTTCTTTCGGCGATGTTTGCCTCGAAAATCAGCTATTTCCTCCTGAGTCTCTGTCCAATCACGTGGCAGAACGCAACCGCCGACGGTCAACGTCACATGGGTTACTGGATTTATCCGCTCAATATTTTCCCGTGATTGATTAGTTTTATTTGAACTCTTCACAACTTCGACTCCACATATTATAGATCAATCTTAGCTGATGCCCTGAGGCGAGAAAAATGAGTTGTGTTCGGTCAGTGTGTTTTATTAAATCTACAGGTGCTGCAGGGGCTGTAGGAGAATTATTGAACAGGAAGGCTGCCTGCATGTATAAGTTATTAATACTCTTCGCCATACTCCACATATAAATAGTCTTTGCCAAAAAAGGGAAAAGAAGAAAAAGAAAAGATTATTTCTGTGAATCGTAGAGGACTTTATCATTTTATAACATGCTGAAAAAACTGCTTGACAGAGAATCTCACTTGGCCTTTTTCCCTCTTCTGCTTTATGAATAATGTTAAATAGTATTTTTAAACTCACTTTCTTACCATATTCGTCATCTATAAAGTTGTGGGCGTTACAAAAATATACACACTGATTAACCCTAACCTTTGTAAAGTTTTGAGTACAAAATCTATTTACCTACTTTTATTTTCACAACTATAAATATAAATATTATATTATATTATAAATAATATTAACGTTGTGTCTTCTCTCACTCACGTGCTAAAACATGGGAAACCTGGCAATGGATGGAGGAACAATGTGACAGCAGAAAGTAAAGATGACATTTATCTGGGTCACTGTTTAAATCTGCTGACTCCATCAAGCAGCATTTGGTGAAACACCTGAAGCTGTACAGGCCTGATCACACAACCATGTGTCGTCAGAAGTTTACTTTCAGTCATCATGGACATGGATGTCATAGCAATTTGTGGGATTTTGATGATTTCTTTCAATTTCTCAATCAGATGCTTTTAGAAGCCATCAAAAAGCCTCTGAGTGTATTTGACCATCCCCCCCCCAACAATGGACTACTCACTGTTGAGGTCTGGGAAGCGTTTCCACTCCCTTAAGGCCAAAACAGAGAGAACGAGGCAGAGCTTCTTCCCTCAGGCTATTCGGTCTCTAAACCAGGTGTAGGACTGTAGGACTGGACTCTCTCATACATCACATCAATGCACATGCACTCTAATAATAATAACATGATGTACCTCATTACTATACCTCAGTAACCTGTTTACTCCACTGTAAACTGTTACTTTGCACACTGTTTATTTGCACACTTTTTTTTTTATAATTTCTTCAATTTGTTTATTGCACATTTTATTTTAAAATGTAACTTTCATTCTTAATTCAAACTTTACTTCTTAGCTAAAATTCTTAATTTATTCTTTACATATTATTCTTTACAAGCTTACTTCAATGTTTTGTTTTGTTTTTTTTTATCTATTATGCAACTCTTATATCCGTTTTCCTGTAAATGTTTCCTGTAGTTTTATGGTCGGGCATTGCAGAGCAACAAGCATTTCACTGCATGTGTATGACTGTGAACGTGACAAATAAAATTTGAAATGTGAAATTTGAACTTTCATGGCAGAATTGACTGAATTCATTTAAATGGGTTGATTTTAAGCTGTAGTCAATAAAGATCCATAAGTAGAAGACAAGTTATCATGTTAAAAGACTTTTTGTAGAACCTTCAGCACCACGTCTTGATGCAGGCTCAATCATGCAGGTAAGGAAGTCACAGAAAGTTGATTTTGTTCATCTTGACGTAGCGTTTTCAGTGGGAGAAATGTTTCCTTACTCAGGTTTCCTGAAGGCTTCCCCAAACCTATAAACAGTACCTCTGCACAATGACTGAAACTAGCACCTCTGGTGAACAATGGGCTGTGAGGTCAGTTCTTTGATCATTAATATGCAAATTGTCATGACCATTGATCAACAGCCACTGATCAAAAACAAGCAGCAATGCAAATAATATCTTTTACATTTTTAAGATGACACATTGTCGGAGTCACAACTGATCCATTATTAGATAACTACACCAAAAAAACAAAAACAAACAAGCAGAAAACAAAGCGGAAACATTCATATCCAAACATTAAAATGTATTCCAAGAAGCTATAAATTGCTAGAAGCTAAAAAATACCTTTATGTAATGTGCCCCTGAACAGGGAGTTTCCATGTACATAAGTATAAACACAAAAATGTGTAGTCAGTGGATTCACAGAGAATGAATGATCTTTATTGAAGCCTGTGTGTGTTTTGCCTGAGAAAAATGAGTGCACATTTTGTGTAGTCCATCAGGTGGCAGGCTTTCTCTTCAGTCATGGTGCAAGGAAATAATAATAATAAGATTTGAATAAAATTCTAAGCATATGACACTGTGACCCTGTTAAATTTAATTTAGCAAAAAAGCCCTGAACTTTTGCCCACTCGGGAAAGGAGGTGATGCAAATCGAGGAAATGTTCAGCTAATTAAAATTCCAAAGTGTCTCAAAGTCTATGTCTTTCTTTGGCAACAGACCTTGTGGAATAATCTTGAGTTGTTGTTTTTATTAGTGTTATTTAGTCACAGCAGGAACTACAGGTATAGAGGTATTTAGGAAGCAGTCATGCTGCTGCTAAGTTTAGAAATTCCCACTTTTAGCCTTTCGGTCACAAGGATGCTTCTTTAGCCTCGAGTCAATCATTGCTCTTAATATGTTCTGACACTAGTATTTGATGTAAGGCTCCTTCGCTTGTAGCCGACTGTGCCTTTTTACGGGCACATTACCAAACCTTCCACCTTTAAACAGAGTCCACAGTGTCTCAAAACGACCCTTTTTAGACATGTTTTCCTCACACATATAACAATATATTCATGTGTTTAAAATTCATGTTTGATGATTTGGATTTAAACAGTGTTTTCATGCCACAGCAGAGGAAGGAGCATCTTTCTTCCACTGTTATATGTCATTTTTAAACTCAGCTGTGTATTCTTTTCCTCCAAAGGAATGTAATGTAAATTGATACGTTAAAATTTGAATCATCCGTCATCTGTTGAATCAGTGTGTGGGAGAAACAAACACAAACAGGAGGATGTTACGTCGAGGGAGAGCAGTAATTTTCTTTCTAACAGGAAAAATGCTTTTGGAACTTTGTTCTACCAAAGACCTGATAATATATCCTCGCCTATTTTATACAGTAGGCATGGGGGATAAGGTTTCCTGATGTGGTTATTTTCTTCTGTTAAAATAAAATCAATATCTGCACAGGCACCAGCTCATGGGACACAAAGTCTGTCCGTCTTCCTCTGTTTTCTTAATCTCTCATTCTCATTTCCGTTCATTCCCTAAGCAGATGCAGATTGCCCGTGACAGATAGCATAGGGCTGGTACCATTTCATTAGTGGGATGCATTGCCAGTGAAAGGCTTGGATGCATCAGATGTGCTGGGGGTTTGAGCAGGACAGTCCAGGAGACACCAAGCTGAGGACGAGTTTCATATCTCTAGGAGGCCTTTGGTCCAGAGGTGTTACAGTGCTGAGAGGGACCAGAGCTGAGACTGTCTCCCATCCTGAGCACAGAAAAGTTCAAAAATAGAAGCAAGGATGATGAAAGTTGCCACTAACTTGAAGGATAAGGAGATGAAAAGGCATCCCCAATCTGCTGAGGATTATTCTTGCTGGACAGATATTTTCCAATTCACTGGTTTTTGCAAGAAGAAAAAAGATTTAATTGGTCATGAATGTATCATCAGAGTCCAGTGAATCATCCCAGTGATGGCACATTTAGAGGATGGCAAACTGGAATGTAGTCAGATATATCTTCTTACAGTTGCCTTTTACCTTTTGCCATTTTCATGCTACAGCTGCTCAAAGAAGAGGAAATATTATGTAGCTAACCTACACTGGCAGCTCAGCCTGATTAAGCTTATCCCAATCCCTATTCCCACAAGCCCATTGTATGGCGTTGTCTCTGCAGCCTATCTGCACACGCAAACACCACACAGAAGAGGTCTTTAACTCTAGCATTGCTTTGTTAGTTGCTGCCAACACAGGCCTCGTGTGGGGTTGAAAACTGATCAGCAGCAGTGACTGGCTCTTAAAGAAGGCAATCAGTGCTTTAATAAGCACATTTTCAAATCAGAGAACTCCAAAGAGGACAAATCATCTGTGCCAAACTGAAGAAAACTGCAGGACGGAGTCTAAGTGCTCGCAGGAGATGCCAACAACCTACATTAAATATGATGACTACAATCTTCCTCCCTTGTCTCTTAACTAAAGGTCATATTGTTTCCCACCGTCCACCCACTCTATTTATTGTTTACTTATAAGCTGTCATGTAGATTTAAGGACTTTTTAATCAGGGATATGATGCGGAAGCTTGGTGCCAGTCTGATTCATTAAGAGGTCCATCACTGCAGTAAACCAGAGGCATGAAAGGAAAATTAGCACAGAGAGCAGGGGTGTGCTATTGTCTGTTTCTTATAATGGCAGGATAATTATGTTGCTTAAATCAGGATGCCCTATAACACACACACACACACACAGGCTGTTCAGTTTATAACCCCAGGGCTACACTTTATATCACGGCGTGCCACAATAACAAACCTTTGACAAAAACTTTGTTTACTGCATTTTTCTTCTTTTTTTTTCCCTTTTCATTAATTAAAAAAATGAGAGGAAAACATAAAGGAGGAGAGAGCAGAACAGAAAACAAAGTCAACCACTTGATATTCACAGCAAAGACAAAACGATTCAGTAATCACGCTGAAAGACAAAGTGCCGCGTTTTGTCCTTGTATCCCCAGTACCTTCTGCGGACTGCTCGTACATCAAATATCTCCCAGTCAGAGCTGTGGGACATATGAATTATGAATGTCTGAGTAAGAGACTAAGGGCTTCTATTTTTTTTTTTTTTTTGCAATTTAAGGGCCTCAAATCTTTTGGTGCAGTAAATTATTCATATATTCAAATGAATCTGACTTTGAGGATGTTTTTCTTTCTTCTCCTCTTTCATGAATTTAGAGTGTACCCTGCAGAAGGAGAGCGCCAAAAAATTGCAAAGTGCTATTAATGGTGAAGTTTGGAGTAGGATGGTGCCTCGGTCGGCTGTCGGACTTTTGAGCTTACGCTTGTGCTCTTGTGGTCGAGCTGCCCGCACTGCTAGGGGGTGGTTTGAGACAGCCCCAGTATCACATTGCTATCTCTCATTGTTATTCTGGACAAGTGCTCGCCTATCAGGCTTCTGTCCTCTGTGTGTGTGTGCGTGGACATGTGGGTGTGTCACTGATACGCCTCAGTATGTTCGTTCTGCTCCACGCTCTCAGATCTCTGAAGATCACTCTGATTGGCACGCCACCGCCATGAGACAAAAAGCGGCAGTGTGCTGCATATTTATTGGTTTCAGAATCTTTCAAATGTCACTAATAATTTCGTACATCTTGGAGACAAAGGCACGCTGCCTCCCCGTGATTAAAGACGCAGCAATACTTTCTCCTGCAGTCAGGAGAGAATATGAAGCAGTTTTCCTGTGCTCATCACAGAGGGAAATTTTGTTTTTTATGAGCCTCCCTCTCAGCGGGATGCTCGGCAAATTGGTTCAAATTACCAGAGGGATGTAAATCATATCTTGCGGCACATCTAAAATGTACGCATCTTGGAACATAATCCGTAACTAATATTGTGACACTTTCCTGCCGTTTATCTCAGAGTTCATAGTTGTGTTCACACGGGTTTTAGCAAACAGAGATTTCCTTTGCAGCTGTACCCTGACTGCTGCATGTTTCTTCTCATTAACATGCAGTGCAGAGACTGGTGTCCTTACAAGGGCAGCTCTAGGATGGCATGGACTGAGAACAGGCTGGGAAATCAGGGAATGACATGGAATCGGCAGCTACTTCTTCGCCTTCTGGGATTAGTGACAAAAGCCAGCTGAGGCCGAAGCGCTTATCTCTATCCTTCAGTCCTCTTTCTTGCTCTTACACACACACACACATGAAACAAAAACGCACACAAGAACATTTGAGTTTGCACAGAGTGAGGGTGCATGTACTCCCATTGCCTTAATTAGCTTTGCCTAGCATATTCCCTATTTAGAAAAAAAGTTCTGTGTCTGCAGTGATTCCCTTTGATAGGTTTAGAAATAGTCTTCTATGGTGTGAGATCAGGCCAAATAATTATTAGAGTAGTTAAATGAAACGCAAAACCAGCTTCTTATTGGGTTGCCAATCAAAATATAGTCATATATATATTTGTGCAGATCCAATAAATCAAAGCCCTTTTTCTAGCATAGCTGTCAGAGTACGTACACCTGAATACCAGCGGTGATGTTTGCCGATGCTGGATGTGGATGTTAAATAAAGTCATCTCATCTCTGCCCTGCGTTCTTCTTTGCTGCTATTCCTCTCTGGTGCGCATGTCAGCGGGCAGATGGCAGGAGATAGAGGCATCTGTGGAGGAGGAGGTGCCTTTTTCCCTTCACAGAGCAGAGACAGGTGACATCTGCCACACAATTAACACCTCATGAATACCATTAAGGTGCTAACAAGCATAATTTATGCTAAGTCAGATGAGACTGGATTTTATTTGGAGTGCTTTACACCAAAAGAAGACATATCTAGTGCCAAACAAAGCAATTTAAACGTCAGTTCATCCAGATAAAATAAATCATTTTTGAAAAGTCAGGTAAAGTAGGGGGCGGGGCATTTCAAAGTGTGGTAAGAATTTTAAATAATTATAAACACATTAAATAATTATAATTAATGGGTTGAAATCTTTGATAGAGACATGTAAAGAATGAATTCAGTAGCTTTTCCTCTAGAGGCTTTTAGCCTGTCCCTTTTTAGTGAAATATTTCAGTTCCAGCAGCACCTGAGGTTACTGGACCCTTCATTTAATGACATGATCAAGCTCAATTTTAATGAAGTAAATGATCAATAGCATGCTAACATGCTAAACAGGCATAGTGCACACAATAAGAATTTTATCTAGTTAAAATTAACACACTGGCATCATTTTCTTAAAAGGTTTTAGCATGCTGAAATTAGCATATCAATCTAGTCAAATCACAGCTGTGCCTTAGTCTCAAAAACCATGTGCAGCACAGGTTGGAGGCCACAGATGGAGAGCAGGCGATGAAAAACGGCTGAGGCTTCCGGGCAAGCAGATAGGCAGAGGCTACTGTGAGGAACAAGCAGGTTTAAAAAATGACAGGCAGCCAGGAGTAAAAGAAGCTGGTCTGTTGTTAGTAGCAGACAGAAAGATAGTTGGGATGTTGGTAGGTGTGCAGTCGTGTGATCGTGGCTGGCAGGGCAAATCTACAAAGTTCTAAAGGAATGCAGGGACCTATTAAGAGAGCGAGAGTGGCCTAGAGCAGGGACAGAGACGGAAATTGTAACAGCCACCAGTCTGCTTTAAATCTCTGCTGTCAAGCTGCAGACACATATTTCAAAGCCTGTCCCAATAAATCCAGAGTGGTTGACACCACTGGCAGAGTGTTTCTCCTGCTTATAAATCGACATAGTTTGTCGAGAATACGATCCTCTCTGTTTCATCACTCGATGAAATACAGCAAGTGATAAGTTATGGGAAGCCTTTTTTAAAAAGGCGCCTCGTTTCATGTGTAATTTGCGGCATGTGTCCATACTCGGTTCACATAAAAAGACTTTTCAACAGAACAGATGCGCTTAGCCGCTGCTAACTGCTTTGAGGAGGTGAAGGAGAAAAAAGAGAGAAGAGAGACGGGAGTGAAAACACGAGATAAGAGCTTTAAGATGAAGAGAGGTGAGAAAGAGATGTTGAATGCTACGACTTTCCACTTGGGCGCCCCCCCACTTTTTTTTGTTGTTGTTGTTCATTCATCCGCAGGTCTGGGGTCTCATTTAAACAGCTCGGTCTGCCTCTCCACAACAGCAGCCGGTTATTACTCACCACTGGATGCTGTCTACTGACACAGTTTAGCTGAGAGCACAGAGCTGGGCCGTGTGTCCCTCACACAAACAGAAGAGCCAAAGCAAAGGCGGCTCAATTGTGTGTTTGAGCACACAATGACAGAAATGTATTAAAATGTAAAATGTAAAATGTAAAACTGTCATTTCATTTACCTGCGTGTCTGTCTGACAACTTGTGGTGTGGCGTTAACAGGCTTCGCGAGCAGCTTATTAACTGTCAGGCGGCTCTGCTCTGTGAATGTGTCTGACCGTTGGTGTGATCGTTATTGAAGCTGATGAGCAAGCAAAGAGAAAAGTGGGAGGGTGGAGACGGAGAAGTGGAAAGGGGAGAGAGGTGAGGATGGAATTAAAATTTCCTCTCTTCTGCCCATCTTTGCCACTTCTCAAGGAAAGGCAGTGTCAGTACATTTAAGCAGCCACAGTTTTTGTTGTAGGCCTTTTATATGTGTTACTCCATTTCTAGAAGGGACCCATATGTGATTGCTTCGTCTCTGGCTGACGAGCCTGTGCGGCCGTGTTTCACACTGAATGACAGAGAGAGAGAGAGAGAGAGAGAGAGAGAGAGAGCAAGAGAGAGAGAGGGAGAGGGGAGGCTCACAGGGAAGCTCTGAGGGGCAACAGATCTGGTTTGCTCGGCTGAAAGACCAAACAAGAGATGGATTTTTGCACAACGTGAGAGAGGAGCAGCTGCTTCACATAAGAAAAATAAAGGTCTGTATCTATTCCTCTTTCTTTTCTCAGCAACTGCATGCATGCTGCTGATGCTTCAGGCTACTTTGTTTTATTTTACAACATTTTTCCAAATTATTATAATGAACCAGACAGAGCAGGGAATCTGTTGATGAGATCTATAAGGAAGGATCCTGCTAAACACAGAGAGATTATTCAGCTTGAACTCATCTCTTCATTCACAGACAACTTTATTTATGGTTTATCAACACCCGCAGAGCTGCGGTGAAGCTGCTGTCACCGGCAGCCTTTCTGTCAAAGTCAGAGAGATTTAAAAGGAAAAGTGTGCGAGATGTACGCATGCATGGCGGGAAGAATTCATTTTAGTCACCAACTTGGAAGGTGAGCGGGATTCCGGTGTGACAGTTGGGAAAAGGAGGAAAAGCGTGACAAGCGATGAGTGGGGCAATTGTTCCCCCCAAGAGGGTGAGGAAAGCGTCCTTTCAGAGCAATCCTGACAAGAGCGGGGTTTGTTTGCATTTGAACTGATGTATGACTCACTCAGCTCATCATAATAATCAGAGAGTAAATGAGCTGCACAGGCAGTAACTCAGCATCGGGTTTTATGCCACGGCGCTCAGAAATATCAGGAGTAATTAACAGATATGAGAATGAGGTGTAAAAATACACTTTACCACAGGGATGAACTAACAGACACACACACATACACACAGTGAAACATCAAAGCAAGGAGCTCATTATCCACACTGGCCACTGACCAAAAAAATCGTCCAGTGCTTCCTATTCATGATGATCACTGTTCCTGTCTGCTCGTGGGTTAACTCATGCTACCTTATTGTCAGTTAGATTAAACCCTTCGCAGCACCTTTGAGATCTCACTCCAATTTGGCCTTTTGAAAGCAGCACTTTCATGCCCTGAATATCTGAGAGAATCAGATAGCAGCTTGAACACCGGGGCACGACCCCCGATAAAGCTTTGAGTGCAGTCAGGTGCGCTTTGAGATTTTGCTATTGAAATGTAAAAAGCGCAGAATAGAAACTGCAATTTGCTCTTTAGTAGTTTTGCAGTCAGTTCAACGCCTCCTTTTTCTAAATCTGGAGCCTCTTCAGTTATGTTTATATTTGTGCACATTTTTTTAATGCTTTGCTTAAGTGCACAAAAAACTAGAGATGATGTTTGTTGTCATGCTAAACAAGAAGAGCGGAGAAACTGTTTACAGCTTCTGGTGAATATTGTAACATCTCTTTCTTCATACTTTCATCATTCCTGCATATCTCTGACCCTTTGTGCGTTATCTGTGGTATTTGCAACTGCAGAAGCAAATTGGAATTCATGTGGTGAGGCTTAGGTCTGCTTTCAGCTGATCTGGCTTTGAATGTAAGATACGTAGCATGGCTGAAATCCAGGTTACTTTTATCTCCTGGTAATCTGCTATTTGGACTATAGAAGTATACATACGCATGTGCAAGTGTTGCATGCATCCAATACAATGTATATCCCCAGGATTTCTGGGGGTTTTTTGGCTCCTCTTGTGTGCTTTTTCGTGCATGAAAAAGTATGTGCGCATCGACACACATGCACACACTTCCACAAAAAAATATGGTCCAAATGCCATGACATTTTGAAACACATGGATGTTGTCCATTATTCATGAAGTGAAGGGCTAGTACCAGAACTAAACAAACAAGAGAATCCATCTCAGTGGGAACTTTCAGTTTTAGTAAATATTTGCATAAGCCGCATGCATGGATTGTTAAAATTCCAGCAATGGCCGGGCCTATTTTCTTTCTCGGACACCACAAGGTTTAATAAAAAGTTGCAGAGAGGCTCCAAGGCTGTCTCTGTTTGGCCCTGAATGAGCATGAATGGTGCTGAATGTGAAAAAAAAAAAAGACTTGCGTAAAGACTGAACATTTATTAATCAAGTAATTAATATTAGACTCATACAAGGCTTACAAGAAAGCACAGTAAGATTTGCTTTGTTCTATGATTTTATCGACACATCGGGTATAAAACTGCAAAGACGTGCACTGTCCAGCAATATCGACAAGCATAGAAGAAGAAAAAAGACGATACGCACTAAGAAATGAAAACATGCAAAATAGGACAAGAGGGCTGATGGGGACGAATGGGCAGAGGCATAAGCTGAATGGTGACCGTGAAGAAGATTACACAGAGATGATGAGAAAATTAGGAGGGTGTTGGGTGAAGAACAGATTGAGAAAGTGGAGCACGGGAAGCTACGCGGCACCGTGTCTCAGAAGGAGTTTGGCTGAACATACTCCAGTAGCAGAGGATGAGGTTGTTTGAGGAGAGACCTCGAGAAATTGTGCAGATCAAAGAGAAGGAGTTTGATCAGGAAAAAGAGAGAGCCTTGGGAATCGAGGCTCACTGTCTATAGAGATAGACCAGTGGCAAAAATATAAAGTCTAAGAAAGCAACAGTGAAGATACGCAGAGAAATTTGCTGAAGTGTGCAGCAGACAGCCGTGTCTATACAGAACATATTTCAAGTTCATGACAAAGCCCAGAAACCAATGCTGCTATAGGAATAAAAAGCTGAAATACTTAATCAGACACAAGTCATATCAGAGAGCAAAAAAAAGAGAGCACTTCAGCAAGAACCCACTGATGAGCTCCAGGCTGCTAGACTCAAGAGGAAACATGAGAATAAGAGGACTAAAAGGCAGAACAGTCTCACAGTGCTGAACTCTGTGCAACCCTGACTGGGAGTAAAACTGGGAGAAAAGTATTAAAGGACAGAGATGTAAGTCATGTCAAGTAAAGTTTGCTGATGTCCAGCCTCAAGGTACGGCCCTCACTCATCCTATTTCCTCTCAGAGGAGCAGCTACCAGCAGTGGTGTTCATTCTCTGTTGGAGAGGCTGTCCAACAGAGGGGCCATGCTGGCTTTAAAAAAGCAGCTTCTGCTCAGAGGGAGGTGTGAGAGCAGTCCAGATCACACTTCAGTGAATCTGAGATGTGGCAAGAATAGGAAGACATTGACAGCATGGATAGAAAAAAATGTTATATTGTGTCTATTAAAAAAAGTGTCTCTCTGAGCAACAATTTAAGATCACAAAGCTTTTAATTATGTTGCCGACCTTACACCTAGAAAATAAATCCTGTTTATTTGTAATGATGTAAGGATTTTCATGAGGTATTAAGCATGCCTCTTGCCCCCAAAATGGGCTTGAATATCTGATATCCATGTTTATGAGCAATCTTAATAAAAATCATGAATTACTGAGCAGATACATCATTTTTTGAGATGACATCTCTGTGGGAGACACATAAAAAGATGGGAATAAAGCGCACACATTAAAACAGGCAAAAGAAATTAAGTCCATCTTCAGCAGCCAGCGTTTTATCCTCTCTGTCAGAGAAAGGAGGTGTTGGGAGGCTCAAGGGCAAATAACCAACGATCTGTCCAAAGTCAGCAGAATGAATAGTGAGCAAGGCCTGATTGCAGCAAAACATTATACATTATACAAAACCCAGATCCAGCACAACCAGAGAAAAACAAGAGATAAGACGAAGGCCACTTAAAATTTTAACTTAACACAATGTAAATATTTTTGCTGACAGCCTTCTGGGATCTCGTACACTTGTGCACTACATCACTGCCGGATGCAGTTAAGGATCAACAAAGAAAACTTTTGCAACAGACTTGATACATAAAGTCAAAGACTTGGGTTTCTACCTGACACTAAAATGTGAATTTAGTGTAACCTTCAGAAGGAAGAAAAACCATAAATTTGTTAACAGAAGCATGTGATGTGAGATTGCTGACTCACTGGAGGCAGGAATAAACAACTCATGTTCCAATACGTGAAAGCCAAGCCACTTTTAAAATTCATATAATTTTCCTGTATAAAGATAGCTCATTTTCCCAATTAGTCAACTGTGTTCTCTGTACTACATTTGCAGCAATTCCTAAGGAAAATAGCTACTGGTATTTATTATATGTAGGCGGGTGTGTGCATGTGTGTGTGTGTGCATGTGTATGGCTCACCTCTCCAGAGTCAGAAGGACTGCATGGCCTGCCCTCTTAAAGTAGATTAGCTTGAAAAAAAGAACTGAGCGTGCATCGTTGCCTGGATACAAAAAGCATCATTAAGCACAATTATCAGCCACTTCAGCTCACAATGAACAAGCTTCAGTGCAAATTTCAAAACAACGTATCATTAAAATCAACAACCTATACAGAGGAGGAAAGAGTGGTATGGAAAGACGAGGCCAACAGATAAGATGAGGAAATGTGGCTGAGAAGAAGGAGAAGAAGAGAGATTTGAAGATAGATAAGTAGGCAGGAGTTCACTGGCAAGTTTTTGGGGATGTTTCAGATGTGTACATGACTAATTACTGACATTTTTTTAACCTCAATATATTGGAAATCTAATGTGACCAAAACATTTTATGCACTAAATGAAAGATGTCAGGTTGGGAGAGAAAACAGTACAGAGAACGATGCATTGCAAAAAGACAGCAGAAGCAATGAAAGGCAATGTGAGCAGCGTGTGCAGGGAATATCAATACAAGTTTCCAAAAGAGTCTGGGGGAAAAAGAGAGGCACTATAAGCTAACAAAAGCGGCAAGACAGTTTTTCACTGGGCCAGGACAACCATTGGGAGCGTTTGATAAAGAATACAGAGTTAGGGCAAGAGAGCACGCAATCACAGAAAGGCTGCAGCCCAACTCATTCCTCCTCATTATGCTGTGCATCTCCCTGAAGGTAGTTTGGGCTTTAAATTAAAGAGAGCTAGAGTTATTGCCAAATGTACCATCCAGAGAGGGACAGTAAGAGAATAAAATGGAGTGAATACGTAGGGAAGAAAAGATTCTGGGAATGGAGTGCCAAATTGCCAAACTTCATAAGCAAAAATCATCACAGAAAGTTTTGTACCAAATGAAATTATCTGAAACTTTGTGCAACAAAACAGACTGTATATAAAAGATGGATATAGCCACTGTTTGTCACCCACTGGTTTGCACATTCAGTTCAGTTTTGTTTATACAGAGCAATCTCAGATTAACAACTGCCTGAAAGCGCTTTACATTGTAAGGTACATAACTCAGATATTAGACAGAAAACCCAAACAATCCGATGATCCCATATTAATAAGCACTTGGTGACAGTGGGGAGGAAGAACTCCTTTTTAACAAAAAGAAACCTCTAGTAGAACCAGCCTCAAGGCCACGACAGGAGAGCATAGCGGAGGACAAGGACAAAACATAAACTATTCAGCAATATGTAGAATATAGTCAAGTAAAGAAGAAAGTAGAAAAGTGAGTTTCCAGAAGTGAAAATCCCCCTCATTTTCCCCACTGGGATTTTGATTTGGAGTCGCTATATTGTAACCATTCAGCTATCCACTGTTACTAAGTGCAACATTGTGGCATGATGCTATGTGTTGCTGTGGAAACCTATCAACTTTGTGTTATTAATAAAAAAAAGTGTTTAATTTGTAGTTCTGTGGAAAAGAACTCTACCCACAATCCTCAGCTGAAACAGAGATCTCTTTGATTGGTGGAGGTTACTGTTATCATGGAAATGTTTAAACTTCAGAGAGCGCAAAATCTTAGAAAGTGAGAGCGGTGGATGCAGTTAGGAGCACCATATCAGTAACTAGGGTACTAAATATTTTACTACACACACAATATATATATATATATATGTACACACAAAACTATTATTATTATTAGACGTAGTAGTAGTATACAATATTTTAGATGAAAACAACTCCATTCGTGAAGGCTTGAAGTTAGTCCCTTTGGAAGCTGGTATTTGGTGTGCATTTTGGCATGATTAGTTCATTCACTGCCAAATGTATTTAAGTTGCACAGTCTTTTCACTTTCTTTTATTTATTTATTTATTTATTTATTTATTTATTTATTATCCAAATCAAATCTTTTAATGGTCATATTCACTTAGTAGCTTATTGGCTTGGTTCAAGTCTTATAACTCTTTGAGTAATGATTTTCCAAAGCGTCAGTGGATAAAATGAAGCTCTTAAAAAAGTGGGCAGGCAGCCTTAACTGTAAACTTTATCAAAAAGGAGCCTAATCTTTTACACCTCCCACCATTTATTACCTTATCTGAAAGAAAGCATGGAGTGCTAAGCTAATAAGCATCAGTTGTTAGCTAATGTTTTAGCAAACTTCATTTGCTATGACTATCCACAAATGGCTAACTAGATGTAAGCAACTTGCTAATAAAATTTGAACTTTCGGTTTACTGTGTGCTACTTAATCAACTGCATGACAGGAAATTATTTGTTAGATAACAAACAGGATCGAACAGAAGTAGAAATTTCTCAATATTTCAAGTTTTCACTGAGTAGCTTGCAGTTTCTAGTCACTTCTGGGTAAATCCAAATTTAGAGATGACTTATTTAAAATTTAGTGTGAATGTCTTGAGATACTAACCAAAACTTTTGGCCTACTGATGAAAAATGCAATCAATCAATCAAAATAGTGTCAAAAAGAAGCTTCCATAAGGTTAGCATGGACTTCAGTTGCTCAAATGTCCATTTGAAGAATTTCAGTTTTGTACTTCTGTATTATCATTTTTCAGACCCAGAGGTTTGCTGCTTGGGATTCATCAGTGTATAATAATATATAAAAATACTAATGACTGTAACAATGTAGCATTATGAGCGTTTAATAGATTGAAAATGCTTATAACTTGCATTCACCAGCTATTCAACTTGCATCATTTAATCTCTGCCAATTCAGAATAACAAGCAGCTAGTTCAAGCTTAGTTAACTAATTAGCTTATGAAGGTTAAATCTACTAGCTAACTGTCCCTTTGTAGTATTATTAAATTTAAAACACAGTGTTCATTGGTCAGGTTAAATAAATGATTATTAGTCCACATCCACTGATTTGGTGTCTGAGCTGCAAACTAAAAAACACTTTGTGACACTGAGACAAGTTTATAATGTTTTTATTAATATTGTCAGAGCAACATTCCCAATTTCCGGAATGAAACATCATAATGAAATGAAATGGCAAAGCATTTAAAGTGAAACCTTCCAGTTTCTAACATGTTTTTACATTCGAGCTACTTTCGCAGTTTTCAGCAGCACTGATCTGATTAATAGAGGTGATTACTGCAGATCAAAAGGCAGGAGTATAATTTTCTCCAGCCTTAATATCGCACGAGTGGCCGGGCTCACATATGGGGCATGCTGAAATGTAGGCTATAAAAAATGGGGAGAAAAGGAGGCCAGGAACAGAAGATAAGAAAGAAGTTGAGCTCATACCACTGGGAGATGAAAAGTGTGCTGCTGACCTCTAGCTTTCATACCGGTCATGGTCATTTATTCCTCGCTTTGAAGTGTCTTTCCTCTGCTGTCATAGATCAAGTCAAGACACAAGGCTGGTCTAACCCAAATTCAGCACAGCCCCCTTCCCCTCTGTGTCTCACCAGCACAAAGACTCTGACTGCTCCTCCAGCGGTCGCTCGCATTTCCTCGCCAGTTTCGTGCCATGCAGTAATTTGTGATGGAATATTATTAACAATATTAATATACAGTGGAGGAGGATTGGTTTTCATCTGTCTTTGTGAAAGCTGATTATAAGGGGTTTAATTTCATCAGATAAGGATGGCTTCATTTATGAGCACGCACAGCTTTGGGCACCGAGCCTGACAGGCATTCAATAAGACAAGCACTCCCCCTGCTGTTCATGGCAGTGTCATCGGCATAAATAAAGTAAAACAAAAAGCTTCCTGACTTTTAATCTGAACAAAAATCCTTTTTTCATTTCCAACCAAGGCTGTTTGCGATTATGTGAGGGTGTGGGCATCAGGAAGCATCTCCCATTCTTCAGCAGACAAAGAGAAATCACTTTTTAAAGGCTTTTTGTAAATACTGGATTTTTAAACTAAACATGTTTTTGCTCCTCAATAAATTTCCCTCCTCTTCCTTTTGTCTCTCTTGTTATTCCATGACGAAACAACAGTCAGGATGTCTGGGATTGACGTTCCGTTGATGGACCAAAATGAGACCGGAATCTCGTCAGTAGACAATGGGACTTTCCTCCGTTTCTCCCCGACCTCTGCCTCCACATCTGCGGCCGCCTCATCTCCAGGGCGTCCAGGGAATGTTTATGTTTATGTATGGCTCTTTCTCGGCCTGCTGGTGTTCCTTCTGACGCTGCTCGTCATTTCCCTACACAGGCTCAAGAACATCATCTCCTCTTCTTCCTCTGTCCCCGACTGCAGCAGCGAGGGAGGAAGCTCCTTCACCAACATGGAGATATGTAGCATCTCATCTCAGAGGTCCACCATCTCTGCACTCTCCACCTGAGGGATGTGGCAGGGAGCACATACAGTACAGACATATGCACATGTGCTCTCATTCGTGCATGCCCATGCAAACAAAGGCAAGCATGCGCACACATATAAAGCACACAGAGGTCCAGCACCTCCTCACTGTGACATACAAACACAAAAACCTTTTGTCAGCCCCAAAGAAGCTGACATAATGGCATTACAGTCCGTGCATGCATATTCTAATTCTGGCGGGGCCATGCAATCTGCATAGGCACAGGGGAAATATCGCTCATAATGTGATGAAGAGGTCTTGAAGGGTGAGTGTGAATGCACCCTTCTGAGTCTTACTTTCACAATTAAGACAAATGAATCTGAGATTCTGCTTTCCCTTTGCAGGGAACAGCATAATGAGGGACTCATTATCTTTTCTCCTCTTTTTTCTTTTTGTCATTTCTCGTATTGCACTCGTGTTCAACTTAGAAGAAATACTATTGTTTGAAGTGAAGCTTTGTACAGCATGCTTCATAATGTCTGTAGACTACATTGCAAACTCGGTATAAAAATCCTATTAAAGCTCTTTAACTTTGTACATGAAGTACATAGATGTGTCTCAGCTGTTCAGTAAGGTTTTGGAAATGAAAAGGCAAGATACATCCAAACTGTGATCACGTCAGGCTTGTAATCATTTAAAGTATGAAGAAAGGAGGTTGCACAAGAAGAGGACCGATAACGGTGATGTGGATGTGAAGGTAAGAAAGAAATGACGCTTGGAGACTTGACAGACAGGCACCCACGGACTCCAGCTCCAGACAGGCCAGGTCAAAAGTGCCATCAACTACAAGAGGAAATTCAGAGCCTGAAAGACAGGTCTACCAGCGCGACAGATTACCACTCTTGCCTGTCAATTTATAAGGCGTCCGATCCCGGTCTCCATAGAGACTACAGCAGCTCTGTGCTGCCATCAGCTTTTATTCCAGGCTTCGGTTAGAGAAATGGTTGTTTACTCTGAAAATACATCATTTACTTGTTTGTTATTTTTTTAATATTGGGAGTTGAAGTCTTTTTGACACTGTGACAAAAATGTATGGCACGTACAGAGAGAATTATTTGAAAACGGTTCATTCATCTTTGCCACACTTTGTCAGAAAAGTCAATAAACTGTAAAGACCACAAAGGCTCACAGATGACAGCCGCAAGCAATAAAAACAGCCAGAGCTGTCAGACTCCTTGACAAATCCTCACTGTTCTCCAATTAATCTGTGTATTTCAGGTGGTACGGTCTGACAGACTCAGCACTCCCCCATGTATAAACTTTAATCACAAAATCCCTTTAACTTCTATACATGCTGAAACATCACACTAATTAAAAAAGAGATTAGTGGCAATGCTTTCGTTTATCATTCCAGTTATAATTGAGGTGTTAATGGATTTGTTTGTCTTGCAAAATTAGGAAAATGGCTGTAGTACTAAGCATAAGATAAAGCATCAAATATACTGTAAACAAATTGGATGTAATTATTAGCTTTGCTGTAGTTTCACTTCAGCTCATTCTTCCCAATCCACGAATCCCTGGATTTTAATTTATTTTTTTAAATGATTGAAAAAATGCCACATACAACCCAAAAATATATACAAAAATATGTATCCATTCATCTTTTATTATTAATATTTGGCCAATTCTGGTAATATCTTTATAAAAACTGCGCTAGACACATCAATAAGATGCCATAATTAGGTATACAAGACCTTAATAATTGAATTTTCGGTGGCTATACAGCTCAGTGGAAACAAAAGTGGGTACACAATATAGTAATAAAGCAATAATAACCATAAATAGAGTGCGGTATTGAACGTAGTTTTTAGGTGAGCAATGGTAGATGTAGTATAGTATAAAGTATAAATAAAGAGATTAATAACTAGGGCTGATAATGTGCAAATAAAAGTAAGTGCAGTTTGTAATTGTACAGTTAATGTTTTACAATATGATAATATGTAAACATATTGGCCTGATTTAAGGTTATTACAAAGTAATAACTACCGCAAATATTTCCAGGTAACATTGATAGCATTAAATAGCACATTCAAATACAGATTCTTTTAAAACATGAGGTGGTATTCATTTTAATATTAAAATAGTGACCATAGCCTTGTTATTTTACTATATTTCTTATTGTAATCGGATTAATAAACACCCAGGTCAGTCAGTCAATCAGATTGTAAAGTTCTGGTCATTTTAAAGTAATTAGTTTTAAATCTAATTTAAAAAAAATAGAAATCAAAATGTTTCAGTATAAAATTAAGTCATATCATTTTAATATTTCATTTATAAGTTTAGACTATAAAATTCACTTTTAGTGGCATAAATTGATACTTAAACTAGTGTTATTTTCTACTGCCTGGTCATTTTAACTGTTTGACATGTAAATTTTATCAAAACCAATGTTTCTCTTATTTAGAAGCACTTAAAACATAAAGAGATATATATTCTATATATTTATGAACAAAGAGCTGAGGCATGTTTAAAATCTGCAGACCTATCACAGAGTAAGTGGCTTATGTAAGTAAGTAAGTGGCTTACTGAAGTGTCCATGGTCAAGACATTGAACCCCCAAGTTACTCCCAATGGCCGGTCAGTGACTTACATTTGATGCACTGGGTGAATATGAAAGGCGCGTTTTAGAAACTTTATTAGAAAACAAACATTTTCTTTCTTCCTGTTAAAAGGGCGTTTTTCCTTCCCACTGCTGCCACGTGCTTGCTCCCAGGGGTCATCTGATTGTTGGGGTTTTCTCTTTATTATTGTAGTCTTTACATTATAAAGCGCTTTGAGGCAAGTTGTGTTTTGGCACTATGTAAATAAAATGGAATTTAATTGAAACTGAAGCTACAGTTGGTAAGGGCTCACAACAGAAGATTGGAAAAACGATGCATGGATCCATCCTGCCTTGTATTAACAGTTCAGGCTGCTTAATGAATAAATAAAACTGAATTGAATCAAATTATTAAATGATGTTTGATGAGAGCAATGTGTGGCCATTTTTCATAAGCAGCCAAGCAAGCAAGATTGCGGCAACTAAGAAAAAAAACAAAGCAGTAAAATAATAATCTGTTTATAGTTTCACAGCGAAAGTTCACAAATTCAACAACTAGTGTATAATTTTAGCTTTTAGTTTAATTTTGCACAAAAAGATGTTCAGCTACGGGAACAAATGACTATTTTAAACTGGTGAAATAAAAGAAAATAGATAAAACTGAACCTCTAATGTCATCTGTGAAATTTCAGGTTGTATAATCACTGTGACAACTTTCAGTGAGGACGGCTGTTCTGTTCCTGTGTTATTTGAAGAAGCTCCACAGGAGTAGGTTTAAATTGGTTCTTTAGAAAAGAACAATGCAGGAAATGCTGAAAACTGAAAGTGGTAATTTTGTACTACTAACAGGGTATTGATGTCTGTGATGCAGGATGTTGCTATTTTCACAAACAGGAAAGAAAAAAAAACAGCAGGTAGTTCAACAAATGACAAGTGTGTGCAAAATGCAGCGTTTTAACTAGAAATCGCATTTATGGAAGTAAGATTTCACTCAAAATGGCGATAAATGTACGCGTGATACACGGTTGTGATCAATGAAAAGCCAAGTCATCAAATTCTTTGCATATTTTATTTTCTTATCATGATTTTTTTTCCAACTCACACGTCATATTTTACATCTTTGCAATAAAACATGAATACAATAGTTTTTTTTAGGGTTTCATAGATCCAAAAATATTTAACCTTTTTTTGGATACGTAAGTTGAACCTGTCGATAGAGTATGTGCATGTGCGCATTTGATCAAGATGGCTTCACACATACGGTACATCTCACATTTCATCCTCTCTCTCCGCCCTCCGCCCCGCCTCTATCAGCTACAGAATCATGATATTGCTTACAACTGTGAGGTTGTAAAACTTATAATCACACATGAGCTCAACGTTTTAAATACAAACATCAATGCACAAATTATCCCGTAGGAAAATGGACCTAAACGAAATGGCAGCCGACCAGAAAGAACCAAGCTAATAAATAATGATATGTGATTGGTGCAAAGTGCAAATACAAAACAAAACTTTTACATTGATTTGATTCTCTCTCTTTTTTTTATTTTTTAAATAATCAACAAATGTGGGTAAGTGAAAGTTTGCGCTTCCAGTCTTATTCAGCTGATCAAGTCTCCCGCCAAGCCTGAACCGAGACTATATGTACATATTTGACAGAACGATCACCAAATATACAAAGGAAATCATGTCAGTCTTGTGTTCGTCATCCTTGGTGGCACTGGTAAGACCTCTTTATCATTACCTTCCCTGGCAAAACATTTACCACCGTCATTACCATCAGCCTTGTCAACATTATAATAATTATTACACAGTATTTTACATACAGCAAGTCATTAATAAATTAAAGGTGATAAGCGCAGTTCGTGTAGTGAAAGTAGAAGTGTAGACTCTGAAGGAAGCAGAGCCTTATTTACATAAAAATCTGATTTAAGCCTGCTGAGGGTAAAGAACAAAAAAAACCTAAATGAATATTCAAAAAAAGAAAAGAATAAAACAGGTGAAATTAAACAAGATTCAACAATTTTAAAAAATTAGACCTTCCAGCGAATTTTCAAGGGTGAATTTAAGATCAAGCCAATAGCACCTGTTTTTGAACAATGGGTAGAGCTGGTTCATTTCTGACCATTTATTAACACTTTAGATACATATTTCATTAATTATCCACCCAATAAGCGATGTGCTGGCATCTCCTCAAATGAAAAGTAAAAAACAAAATGTTAAACATAGCCAAAAGAAAAGAAAAGAAAACCTAGGATTTCTTTGAGGAACAGCAAATGTACCAGTCCTGTGAGTGGTACAGGTATGAAAGACCTCTACAATATCTGCTCACCTTGCCTCCCCCTCCCCACTCTGCAGTCTTCTTATTCTATTAGCAGGTTTTGGTGTGTATCTTCTGGGTATTAAGTGTCTGTGGTTACACACGTGTGTGTGCGCGTACATACACGTATGCACAGAGGAAGCAGTTTCCACCAGCGCCGTCGCATCCTAAAATCAAGTGAACTTCACAAGGGAATACAGCCTAAGGTCCGGTACTTGTTTTTCCATCGTCTCTGAACCTGTAGTTTCCCCTGTGCTGCAGATACACAGCAGAATGCATCACCTCCTCGCCTCCCTTCATCGTCCTCTTCCTCGCACTGTCCTCAGTACCTGTTCTGGTGTTCGTAGTGCCAGCGGTTGAAGTCTATGTTGAATGCCACAATGCTGCCAGACGCCATGCCAGTGATCAAAGTCCTGAGGGCAGAGAACACAGTAAATCACATCTGCGAACCATCGAAACTTTTGCAATCACATCACAAAGGTGACGCAGTCTTTGTCCTCTTCCTGTTTTACCTCTGGTCGTGTGATAGGTCCATGGCACGGATTCCGGCATCACAGCCCGGATAGATGTAAAGCTGTTTGAAGTCACACGCCTGCCACACCTCAACAACTCCATTATCGCCTCCTGTCACCAAATTCTGCCCGTCACTACTTAGCAGGATTGCCTGGAAAAGAAAAAAAGAGTCCAAGTTAAAAGAAGCTCTTGGTTTATGGCTGAATAATGCGAACACCAGTGTATGAAAATGTTTGCATTCGAGTAACCCTGACAGCTTTACCCGCGTCGAATCGTTGACCTCCATTTGTGCCAGCAGTTTTCCATTTATGCTGAAGTTGCAGAAGCGGCCTCTCTCATAGTAGATGATGCAGTGTCCCTCGCTAGACACCGAGATGAGGCGTGGCTGCTGGCACAGCTCTGGACCCTCCAGGGCTCTGAGCAGGTCCCCTGTGATAGTGTGGACGAGGCACGGGCCCTCTGAGGGAAAAGATCAAAGCAAGATAGTGTAAAGCTTTGGCAAAAGCAACATTCACTGTGATTAACGTTCACTGCGTCCACGCCACTGTTCTCTGATGTGCATCTTTTATAATTAAATTAAATATTTATTTGCAAATAAACCTCTTCTGGGCAAAGACATATAAAGATGTACAAACCTTTGGCTCCACTAATAACCAATCCCAGCTCCGCGCAGACGGACACACACACCACCTCGTGGTCATGTCCTGTCAGTACTGCTCTGGGAGCAGGATAGTCACCTGAGGAAAACACAGTTAAGAGTCAAACCACTACATTTGCAGTAAAAATGTTTCCATTGCTGTAAATATACAATAAACATGCTCTAATTATTCAACTTTATGTTTGACCTTGAAGCGCATTCATGCACTCATGTCCCAAACAACGACTAGTTAACTTGCACACATTCTGTATCCACCATTTCACCACTCACTGTTGTTAGGGTTGTCCCCTATAATATGGTGCCGCCCACTCCAGTACCACAGAAGAAGAGTGGCATCTCTGGATCCTGACACGATGTAGCAGTCTCCTCCAATGTAAGACTCTGACCTAGCCAGACACGTCACCACATCCCAGTGGCCAAAAACTATCTGGGTCAGCTTTCCTGTGGAGAGCAGGGAGGTAGACAAGTTTGCCAACGTGTGTGTGCCTCTCCTTATCAAACTCCTGGAAGGCGACGGTGGGATAAAAATGCTTCGTGATGATAACTTAATCAAGCCGTGTCTCCTTTTAAACCCGAGGATCAGTAAAAACAGCATCTACCTCCATGTGCCTGCATGTATTTCCAAAAAAGCCTGCATCTCTTCTATGTAATAAATTAATAAACATGCAAAGCAAAGACTCTGACAGAATCATAAATTTAAGCTTCAAAAAGGAAGCCGACAGCCTCGAGGAAATGCTTGCTGTACTTAGTGCTTGACATGACTTATAAATAATACAAAAACCAACCAGTTTCTGTGGAGTAAACGCGGAAGCTCTTGTCCCAGAAGCCGCAGACAAGGATGTAACGGTTATCAGCAGTAACCACAAAACAGTGTGTGTTAATTTGGATGCTCTGGTCCACCAGGTCAGTGATCTGACGCTTGTTCACGCCTGAGTTGTTTGCTACATGGGAAGAAAAAGATGTAATCAGGCTAATGAGGGCAGAAAAATGGAAAATGGTTAACAGTATATCTAAATCCCCAATGCATCACGTGATGCTTTTGGCCACAGCTCCCCCAGTGATCTGGAAATTCCCTTTATCTACTTACAGAACATGTGTATCAAAACTATGGTCTGCAACTGCTTATATAAAAACAAGAGCTGCATATAAGCATCTGTGATAAATTCTGCAATAACCTATAATATTAAAAACTCCTTGATTCAGATCTGCATCTGGGCCACATCCCACCTCTGGTCAATAAAATACGACATAAATTGCATCTATAACTTTTTGAATGGATAAAATGCTGTGAATATGTGTGAGCACTGACCAATGAGAGGGTCCATCTCAATGGGCAGATGATGAGCTTGTTCTAGGGAGTATCCTGGAGCTCCACGGAGGCCTGAAGGGTTTGAGGCACAAATATTACACAGTCATACATACGCACATCTTCAAGTGGTGAAGAAGGCCTGATCCAGTGCTCTCTGATGGGAGCTCTGATGCAAACGTACATTAAAAATTAAGTGCCTCGTGTGGCAGTCGGTACTAAAAGCCACTTAAGCTGCCCGTGATCCTGTATAATCACATTACCATGATTAATTACACGTAGTCTGTTGCGCTAATGAGGTCATTAATAAGGTTAATTGAAGCTTTAATTAACAAATATTTCTATGTCAACATCGAGGGCGTGAACAAAACAGGACTAAAGGGCAGTATGAAACAACAAGAGCAAATGCTTCAGGCTCAGCTGTAAGTATACAAGCATTACAGGCTTTGGGAAATCAGTCGCAAAAATTCTTTAATAATTTAAATTTTACACGGACTTCCATCAACGTACACTCACCGACAGTGTTGTGCCAGCGGTTTACGGCGAACAGCCGGCTACATGTGACCGTCACGGCTGCTGGTATGCTGAGGTGGGGGAGCGTGTTGGCCGCGACGTGTGTCACGGGAGAGTTGGAGGGAAACTTGAGCACCATGATGACATCCTGCTGCATCTGATCCTTAAACATCAGAGGGCTCTGGGGAAGGAAACACTGGTGAGACAGACAGAGAAAGAGAAAGGGAGAGAGAGAAAGGGCAAGAGGGTAGGTTGGAGGAAGGGGGATGGAGACGAAGGGAGAGGGACAGACAGAACAGATGGGACAGAGGGACGGCAGGGGAAACGGTATATTAGTGGGAGCACAGGGTCAGAGCAGGTACACACACTGAGGGCGGCTCTAGGTCTAGGAAAGGAGGCGGATGCACCGGTTGCTGAGGGCTCGGGGTCTGACGGGTTTGGGTTGACATTGATGGCTCTGATGTAGAGAAGCAGAGGCCTCATGCTGCTGAGGGTAGCAGGGACTACAGAGAGGCTACAAACACCATTACATACTACTGTATGTAATAAAACTTCAAATAGCTTACATCTTGCTAATGGAAGCTATTCCTCTCGGAGAATGCGGACTAAAAATAATTGATGCACTGGGTAGAAATGTTTTAAAAATATGATAAATAAATGAAAACAATGAAGATTCAAAGCACTGCTAGCTCAGTAGCTCTGCAGCGCTCCTACAGTTGACTTGGTGTTTTCATCAGGTGTTTGTCTGTAAGTGCGTGCCAAGATGTGCTAAGGCTGTTGAGGTATCTCACCAGGTGCATGGCGGAGGACCGAGGTGGGTGTGGCTCGATCAGCAGCTGGGAGGGCACCTGACCACTAAGCTGAATCTGGGCCTCAATCAGCTGGAATCAGAGAGGAAGAGATGGGCTTACCACGCACAAGTTCGATTTCTGCACTTTAATGATAATCGTCAACAAACCTCACGCTGTACAGCATCTAGATTGTCTAGGTTGACTGCTCCCTCGTAGGATAAGAAGTTGAACACATTGAGAGCTCGCACCGCTTCTGGCCCTCGCTGCTTGTAGCCAAATATTAGATCAATCCACTGGTGAAGCTGGCACGACACGAACTCGCTCTCCAATGCCTGGAGAGAGGGAAAGAATCAGAGAGAGAGAATATTCGCAGTTTATCTCCAGATTTGAAGGTGAGGCAACGAAAAAAAAGAATCAAAACTTCCAGGTTTAGTATTTAAAATAAACAAGTCTCTGTTTTTCTCACCATGCGGTTAATGCGAACAAAATCCTCGGGTTTCTTGGCCCAGACGGGAAGCTCCACATCACTTACAGGAACTGCATCTTCGCGCATCCCGAGCTCATATTCATTACTGTTGACGAACATCTCGGGCAAGTAGTAGAACTCTGGGATCAGCTCCTTATGGACACGAGCAAAAACACATTGTTCAGTCACTGCCTCTTTTTGAGGAGCATGCTGTGCCATGTGGTGGCTTAACCTTGCTTAATGTCTGCATATCTTACTGGAAAGGAGACACAAATGATATTGTAACTGATTTTGAGTACATCATAAACAAAAAAAGCACAATTAAATAATAGAAAAAATAAAGACCTGAAGAGTACAGCCTACTTACGATGGGGAAATATTGTTCTTCTGCAAAATTACCAGGTAATTAAACAATACCGAAAATTACTTAAGCAGTACTTAAAATTACTTACAGTATAATTTGTATCTCCTTTCCAATAAAACAGAAACAATTTCGGTTAAGTCGCTCTATAATACAGCCCACACACAGGTACAGCCTACTTGCTCTGTAAGATGGCAAAATATTATTTTGTTTTCTGCCAAATTACCAGAAAATTATGCAGTACTTGAAAATAATAATGCAGCACTTAAAATTAATTACAGTATAATTATTTCTTTGTTACATGTAAAAAACCAACTCGTTATTTGTTGTTTTAGTGGAAGCTAAATTTAATTTCAATGCATTTTCATATAAAAAAAAAACATTGAAATTGTTATATTATAAAACGAACACCCCAAGATCAGAAACAAACAGCCAACAAACCAAAAATCACACAAAATACCTAGCCTGGTGAACATCTAACAATCCACCCGCTGCACTCTCAGTATAATAACAGGCTATGCTGCTGCTTTAGTTAACTGGATCTAAGAAAAATCCACATCAATTATTGACGCTCCTTTAGCAAATTATTATCAAATATTTCACATATGGTACTTTCAGCTGCTCCCTTATTTCCCAAGGGGTCACCACAGCAAATGGCTCCACATGTCTGATCTGGCACAGATTTGTCACCAGATGCCTTTTCCTTCCCTGCAAAACTCCCATTTATCCTGGAGTGCGACCACCGCTGGCTTGCAAACCCTCAAAACTGGGGTTGTGCCTCCTCCTGGAATTAAGCTGAGGACCTTTCCTCATATGCAAAACAAATATGTTAACCACTTGAGGCCATAAGGCCACTTCTAAATACTTTCAAATTGGAAATGAAAGAAATGAAATCATAATTTCACGGTCCTGGTGTTAGGTCTCAGTGCGGATGGATTTTATGCTGAATACATCTAGTCCAACAACCTCAAACCAGTCACTTCAGTAGGTTGTTCCACGTTACCTTCACATCAGCCGTGTCCCTCTGGCAGTTCCTCCACGAGCGACCGATGCCAGAAAAGGCTCTCTCTGGATGGTCGAACTTACCATCATTAGCGCTGAGGAAAAATGTGGTAAAGGGCTCCTACAGGAACAGAAAACAGACACGTTCATGTGAAAAGCAGCCCTGAGTGTCTGGCGTGTGTTTAGTTAGCTGTTTCCAGTTTATAAGTGTGTTAAGTAGGCACTCACTATTCTGAGCATCCACATCAGTGTTGAATGAGCTGTGGAGTATAAGGTTGTGTAGTGGTGAGGAGGTGCGCTGTCGTCATCCCATGTCTCGTAGCGCTCAGCATAAAATGCTGCTCGTTTGGGATTCAGGGCACCGATTGGCTAGAAGAAATCAGAGAGAAATAACTGGATGAATACTTTGAAGAGAAACCACACATTAGCGTTCTTCTGCATAGCGGGGTGTATACGCTCTTGGTGGGGATGTGATAAGGAGAGATTTGTGCTATTCCTTGGTACATTATGTACCGTGAATGCTATTTTGTGACTTTGATTCATTTGAGTTGATAGCATCTCCAAGTAGCACACACGCAGGAAATTGGAAAAGGTGCATAAAGAGTTTTATGGGTGGGAGCTCTAACCTTGGAAAGGTCTCTGAAGTTGCCCGGTAGTGTGAGATCGAGCTCCTCTGAATCATAGTTGGTCAAGACCCAAGGGAAGACAGGGTACTGGTTCAAATCATTATAGGTCCTCCCTGCAAAAGACACAACAGCGATCAGCGACAACAATGTGGCGTTAGTCTTGTTATAAACTGCAAGGACACACACACACACACACACACACACACACACACACACACACAACTCTTAGATTATAACAAACTATAAAATGTCTGTGTAAATGTTACTCTGGGAAAAGAAACGTTGCTATAAATATTTTAAAATCTTACACATCCATTATGCCGGACTCGTGCTGAAATATTAACGAACCGCTGAGCCCAGATGAAATGTTATACACACATTAACTAAAGACGCATGTTTTTAGTTAAAAAAAAAGAAAGTCAAGCAGAGAGATAAAAGTACAAACTGTTGATAAATGATGTCAGGAGTTAAACAAATATTCACTCAGTTTCTTTGTGTGCTTCTGATACTTACTCAGTATCTCGACATGTATTAAAACAAGCGGTTTTATTCATTTTTCTAAATCTGTTTTCTAGTATATAAAGAACAATTTGGCAAACTGCAGACAAAGCATTCATCTTATTACAAATCTGTCACCTTCTTTGTCTGCCCTCTTCATTAAAGTGTTTATAGAATCACCAATGAAGGAAATACACAATGGAAGTGTGCGTTTTCTATCCTTGGCAATCGAAGCAACCAAATAAGTTTAAACTGCTAAAAAACTTCACAGTGAATAAGAAACGTCCGTATGACTCAGCAGAAATGTTTGGACATATCAGCCAGATTTGTGTGCTTGACCGATCTTCTGTTCACACGTATATCATTGACAGGTCCAGAGGTAGAAGAGTCAGCGCTCATTTAAAGTGGACTTCACCTGCAATAGTGTTGAGGAACATGAGGTACTCAAAGTTAGAGATCTCTCTCCGCTGCCAGCGCTGCGTCATGTTGGATGACTTGAACAGCTGGCGAGGAGTAGCCAAGGAAATCCGCCTGAAATGTACACACACACGAAATGTAATTCTCCATTTATCAAATCTTGGCATTGCCCTTCGAAAACAGAGCTGTGCATACCTGGCCTGTGGCAGACCGTAACTCGTTCCTACACCGACCCGCGGGAGACTGTAGACAACCCGTTTAACGGTGGCCTGGTCGGGGAAGTTAAACATCACAGATGCTAGAGGGAGAACAAGATACAGTTAATGCTGATTTAAAATGAACCACTCACTTAACACTGAGCTAATATCCAAGAGTACATTTAAACAGATCAGGTAGTGTAGTCATTCTATACTAAAGCGGGTTAATTGCAGTGTCACCTGTGAGTATGATCGTTTCAGTAAGAACTCTGGAGACTTACTTCTGTTGGCCATGAAGACTTCTAGTCCAGTGTTCTGTAGCAGGTATCGTCTGGAGAACACAGCTCGGATCTCACTGAACATCCATTTGCCATGCAAACCCTCAGAGTAGGCAAGCACCTAATGAAAATGCACATTATTGGGAAAAAAAGCACAAAGAAAGACTTATAAGTTAACCCTGTCATTTACCGGTTTTCCTCCTCTCTCTTTCTGTGCACTGATCACTTATAAAGAAAAATGATTTGTTCTTACTTTAGGGTCCATCTTCTTAAACGCAGTATCTTCTTCATCCACCTCAAAGTAGATCTCAGTAGTAGTGATGGACAGAGTGCCTCGAGCCACCACCACTGGTGCTACCAACTGAGCTGGAGTACTCAGAACCACCGGACCTGTGGGGACAAATTCAAGGGTCAGGCATTACTATAGGTAGTTATACAAGTATCCGGGTCACGCCAATAAGCATGATCACAGGAGAATATAAAACAGCACATTAGGGTCATTTCATGTTAGTTAAGATTGACCAATCATTGGCTTCTTTCCCCTCTGTTGGAAACAACCGATCGGATATGAAAGCCAGGGAGGAATCACTGGATTAAACAAGGTGTTTGATCTGATTTGCATCAGTTTTTAGTGAATTGTGATTTAATCTTCTGTGAGATAAATTAGCCAGACGGTTAGATTAGCTGCAAAGCTTTCAAATGTCAAACTTGCCTTTGGAGATAAAAAGTCTCGGACGAAAACATACTAAAAACAAGAGTCAGAGAGTTTATTGTTCAGCTGGACTGTAACAAAGTCTGTGTGTGTGTGTCTGTCTGTGTGTGTGCGTGTTTGTTTGTTTCTTACCAGCGAGGTTATCGATCTCTTTTTCCTGCAGCAGACTAACAGCGTCATCGTCTCCCTCCAGCATGAGCTCTGCCTCCGGGTTTTGGGTGACCACCGACTGACTCCGGAAATTCTTTTTTTTGAGTCCCTTCTCCTCGTCTTCTGTACCTGTTTATGTTTAAGTGAGCATGTTAGAATATGCAGGAAAAAAACAAAACAAAGCAATATTTGTATGTTAGTAAACATTACTGACTGTACTCATCGAGAGCTTTGAGCGGCATGTCGGCGTGAGTAGATCCAAAGGCATTTCGCACGAATCTCCGTCTCCTCCTGAGGTCGTCCTCCCAGTAGTCTAGACGCCAGAAGTCGTGTAATTGGCTGAAAGTCGGGAGGAAAAAAGATGAGCAATTTCAGTTGAGGCACTTGTCTAAAGACAGAGATGACGTTATATGTGACATTTATGCTAAAAACCACCCAAACTAATTTCCTACAGTCTAAAAGGTTCCTCGTTATTAGGATAAAGGGCATCATTTGACCATGAGGGCTTTTCCAACTCTACAAACACCAATAACGGGCTTTTAGATAAAGAGGAAGAACAAATATTGATGAGTTATGAACTGTAAACAACCAACAGTTACTTCAATAGTGGCATAACGGATGAAGGATGGATAAGGTTAGATGTTACATGTTACATCACATGTGGCCGCCAGCTTGTAGGAAGGTCTGGATGAGCAAATGCTGAAGTGTATTAAAACAAAATAAGGACATCAGTCTCTTGATGCTTCCAGGCAGTAAATATATTAGGAGTCAGATACTGCACATTTTTATTACCCATTTCATTAATTTATATCAAAATCTGACTCCTTACTCATACTCCTGCAGGGATCGCTCGTGAGATTACACAGTGATGGTCTACCTCTGTGACATGGTTCCCCATGCTCCGTGCTTATTGGTCAGGATGTTGAGGATCTTCTGTTTCAGCTGGTTAGCAGTCACATGATCTCTGTGCTTAGCGGCGCTGATGAGGTGATCACACATTTTCTCCTCCTCCCTTCGGTCTGCAGCGTACTGCGCACAGTTAGACTGAAGGAGAAGGGGACGTGGAAAGTTAAACAAGGACCAGAAACAGTAAGACCGTGGACCATTACTGTGACGAGGACATGGTGCTAACAAGGAGTCAGTAGGTGATCAGATGAGGATCCTTAATATTTACACATCAGGCAGATACACGCGTGGATAACTGCTTATCTTATATTGCACATATGCTAACAAGATTTATCTGAAGTTATTCCGAAACTCTCAATTGCAATCTAATGTAAAAAAAACTGTAAAAAATGTTTATATAAAAAAATATACTGATAGTCCATTTACTCTTAAATATCAACAATTAGTTGATTATCATTTTCTTGGAGGATCAAGGCTGTTTGTCAACCCTGAGATGAGAAAAAACGGAGTTTTCTGTTCCAAAAAGAGTTGAATAAAACTTTGAGGCATTTATTGCGGTAACAGACTCTGTGAACCTGTCTGCTGTCTGGTTTTAGTTCCTCATTTGTAAGGCTGATAGAAAAATGAATAGCAGAGTGAATTCATCGCAAAATTTTACGTCTTTGCAGACATGAAATCCCAATTATATATTAGCTTCATGTTATATTTCACACAAGTGCTTTTATGATCAATCAGTCAATGATGTCAGCGCATAGACAGCAATCAGTGGACATCATGGATTTATGAACAGTTTAAAATAACAGGCTACATCTTTCTAACTCAGTGATTCTTTGAACAATAATGCAGCTGTTTTTTCTAAAAAAAAAAAAAGGTGTTTTTTCAAGTCACTTCACTTCAGTGACAGAAATATTTGCAAATGTTTTAAAACTAAAGTTTAAATATTAAATTTAAACACAATAATTTGTGATGCTGTAATCGCTCACAGTGACAGAAAAAGTGGGAGCATGACAATAAAACAGAACGAAACTTTGTAAAGTTAAACAGGCTGCAAATATATGCCTCGATATGCATCGATTATACATTGATATGCAGTTACTAGATGCATAATTTGTAAAGGTTTCAGTGTCTGAAAATTCACAGTTTGAAAACTTTGGGGCCATTTCCACTAAAAATCATCTAAATCGGTGATACTGGGTGTAAAAATTTGATTTAGAAATCAGTGTACGGTCCGACACTCAGCTGCGATCAGGAGCTGTGGGTAGTGGCTTATCCACAGAGACTGCTGACCCAAACCCAGACGATGGTTGAATTGACTCTTTTCTCATAAGATAAAAGTCATGGCCCACACCGACTCACACTCATATTCCAATGGATAAAAATAAGCTCTGCTTATTATTTACTTGTTGCCATGGTGACTCTTGGTATCAGAGCTCCATTAATGAGGGCTTTTTGCTCCATTACTTATGCATGCTCTTAACGCAGAGTTTACTGACCTTATTTCTGGAGCTGAAAACTTAAATTTGTCCAACCCAGAGTTCAAAGTTAGTTTGTTGAACCTGCTTTCTGGAAAATGGACCAGATAAACCTGAACAATATATACCTGAAGCCCTCACAAAACAAAAGGACTTCACTTATCTGCACTGCTGATTTTTAAAAAAATGTTGAAAACAATACATATCGTCCAGTTTCTGTGGCTTCTTGCTCGCATACATACAGCAAGTGACAAACAGAAGTTGTATTTTGTGCTTATACCTCAAATTCAGCATGTTTGTGTACATCCTCAGCCCTCTGTCTGTTCAGGATGAACTCTGCTTCATTCGCAACGCGCACAATATGATCCTTCATGGCATGGCACAGGAGTCTGGCAGTGGAAGTAAGTGGAAAAAGAGCAAAAGAATAAAATAAAATGGAAGGAACCATCTCTATTTAGAGAAAACATAAATTCTCAACAAGATGGGAAGTGCAGCAATAAGAATGGCTAATGATTTCAGCTAACATCTGCTTCGTTTTCAATGCAATGCTGTCGTTTTCCACTTTGTGCTTTCTTTGTTGGGTTTGCAGTGATACTCGGGTAGTTTGGAGTAAAAAGGAAAAGCAAAACTGCAAGCACTGAAATTAGACCGGCTCAAATCAGCTGTAAATGTAATTGCACAATAATGATTCGACTTCCTGCTGGTCACACATGGCACTGTGCACTTATCCTGGCAAGGTTCTCATTAGGGCTCTATCCCACCCATTAGTTGTTAAGCACTGATACAGAATTAGTGTTAATGTGTGAATTACAGAGTGATCTACTGCGAGAATCATTAAGTGTGATGAATTACCTTCCCTCATTGATAAGCTCAATGAAAGCGAGTCCAGCATTCTTCTGAATGGAGTTCTGCCACTCCTAAGTGTAGAAGAGACACCAAAAAGAGTACGATGAACCACAGCTGGGAGTAAAAAAGGGTAAATGATGAACAGGTCATGCCACGCACACACCTCTACGGGTCATTTTATACTGGTTTTATTCATGTTCTAAACATGTAGTCAGTTTATTTTGGAGACTAAAGAATGTTAATTCATTTACTGTTGGTTTTACAATGGCTCATGAAAGTGGATCAGAGCATCAGAATGACTAGTGGCGCAATATACAATTACCCAAATACTTCAATAAAATATGAAATAAAACATATGATTTACAAGTACTTTACTTGAGTGTTTCTGTGCTGTGCTGCCTTCTACTTCTGCTCTCCATTTCTTTGTTTTAAAGAATTAAATTGTAATCCTTAAACACTCACAGGTAATCTTACTACGATACACAAAATCTATGTTTGGGTGTCTGTTTGTTTGCAAACTCCTCTTAGCTCATCAGGAGTTGAGCAGCCAAACTTGGCATGCAGATACATCTTGGTGCCCTGATGGTTCTTATCCATATCAGACACTATGGCGTCATCATGTTGCCTAGCAACAAGCTAAAATAATCCATTTATGCACCTGTGAAATCTTATAAAATGTATCATATAATTTTGTCACAAACACATTTTCTTTATATTGCCAGAATCTAAATTAGCGTACTCCCTTCTGAGTCACCTGTCCTAGATCAGAAAGGATGCTATATTATGATGCTGTTATATTGCCTAGCAACCACATCTACCACCCCATTTTTAAACATTTCTCAAGTTTATCAAGTAAATCAGTTTGGAACCAGCACCGACAGGCCAAACAATATTATAGCACGGGCATGCAAATGGAATGCAATGCAAAGTATATACACATGTAGTATCTACTACAGCTTACACCACATATCAGTATATACAGGATTAACAATTTATAATATATTTGTACCATATTCAGAGTTACATCTGAATATCTTTGTATTTGATGAAAAACAAAGAAAACACATGACGGTTCAGTTCCCATAAACATGTTTTAATGGAGTGTTGAATTTAATTTTTCTTTTAGCCTGCAGTAGGTTGAAGTTCCTGCCTGGGAAACCTGCTGAAAGCACCTCAGAAACGCAGTGACAGCAGATGCCAGAGCAGCTTCACTGATCCGATATTGATCGCGTGGAACTCTACAGGAGGGATGATTATTCCAAACGATATTCCCTCATTTGGTGTCTTGATAGTGAAAGTGGAGAAAACTGGTCTCCCAGAATTCATCTGCTATAGGCGTTCAATATCGTTGTGATCTAGTGACCTTCATACTCAAACTTTCACTGAGCTCTCGTGACATGCAATGGGGGCACTGTCATATACTGGAAAGGATCTCTCTCATCAGGATAGAGAAGTTTCAATACAGGACAAAACTGATCTGCAGCCAGCATTTCCTCAAACCATGAAAACACAAGTGTCCTGCTTTCTTGGCCTTCTTGTTTTCATTAAACATCAACCTAATGACCAGCATCACAGTGATAAAATATGTGTTGGTAATTGATATTTTCAACCAATAATACTGAAGTATTTTTTCCACTAATCTAAGATCATCCAGGCCATCCTTTTAAACTATGATTCCTCCTTCAAAGCCACTTATCTTCAATGATGCTAATTAAAACAACAACAACTATGCCTTCTTGGCTTTTTAGTACATGCCAGAAACCCTTGATTATTAATACACAGTACTGCAGTGAACCTGTGTGAAGGCATCTGCATTTGTTATATCGGGGATTTCCTTTAATTGGTCAAACATTTGTTCATTCTTTCACAGTAAATGCTGTTACATCATCAGACCCTGACTGGACGAGCTGATCAACACGTAAAAGGCTTAAAAAAGAAATTTAAAAAAAGCTTTATTTCAGAGGACATAAACGGTTTCATCATTTACCATTGACTGTGTGAAAAGTGCACAGTAGTGCAACACTGATCAAAGGAAAGATGAAAGAAACAAGTAAAAATGCTCCTGTCTGTGAGAGAATGGAGAGTGGAGAAGGGTAAGAGTGCTGCTGAAAGCCTCAAACTATCAGACCTCCATTAGCTCCACTGGCTCTTAAGGCTGTGAAGGACACGTGGGACTATCTCCTGTTACATCCCCCCATCCGGAGGATCGATTTCTGGGCTAGGGTTTGCTCTCCCGGGTCTCTAATGGCAGACAAGGCCGGAGCCAATGGTAATACTATACATGCTGACGAGCAGCCACCCAGAAGTGGAACAGAGAGGAAAAGAAAAGGGAGTGGTAAAGAGAAGGGCATTGTGGAGAGCAGTACGAGATGAAAGCAGTTGCTCCTGAAACACCGATTTAAAAATGACCACGGCTGAAGATGTAAGAGGACAAAAGGCGAGAGAGAAGATGACATAGAGGTAAAGATGAAGAAAATGGAGAGCGAGAGGATGGAAATGAACGCCTAAAAGAACAAGAGCGCTTTGAGAAACTTTACAACTTAAAAGAAAAGAAAAGCTGGTGACAGGTTCCACTTGTGAAAGGCTCGGCGAAGGTAAGTGTCACTCTCGCTTTGAGTTTTATGGAGTTTTATTGAAGTAAACTGAGCTTACTGGCTTACTGTGATAGCAGACGGATAAATGAGCCAGACAAAACGAATTAAGATGCAACGTCTGTGACATAATGTGTTTTTATGTAAAACTTAAACCTTGCATATGTCACAATTCTAGCCCTGATTTTATTATTATTGAGGGAAAACTATGCTGTGATATTAGATTACATCTGCAATGCGCTTATTACACAGTCGTCCCTGCCTCACAGGGCAGATCAATAACTCTGAAGCTTCCGGTGTGCTCTAACCCCCCCACCCGAAAAAAAAAGCCTTTCAAAAACACTTAGGCACGTCAGGTTTTGACAAAACTGATTGAAAGCGTGAGGACATTTCATCAAGACACAGAGAGGAGAGGTGAGAAGTTACCAACCTGAGAACAGAGCAGCATTACGAGCTCCACCACAGACGTGCTAGACTTCATACAGACCAGACCTGTGGCACAGACACATACAACACAGTCAGGAGCCTCTCTTTTATTCTCTGTGACACACACACAC